TTATTTGGAGGCAAGTCGAGTCGTGTCTGTGAAGTTAGCAGAGCACTTACCAGCAGAGCACAAAACAATAGAGTTCTCACAGCACACACAATCTTAATATATATACTCAAACTCAAACTCAAACTCAAACTCACCGTGTGTAGTTTGATCTAACTTAAAAGATAGGATAGCTTACATCTCAATTTATACCCGCAATATTATTTTATTGCAAAATATTTGTTTATTATTTGATAATCACAATTCTAACAGATGGCGTTTCACATAAGCTACAATTGAATGACATAACCACCAAAAAAGCATGGTGGTCCCCATGACTGGTGTTCGCCTACCGTTTCCCTTGAATAGTTTACCACTATGTGATATAACAAAAACCTTAGCCACAGTAACGCTTGGCCGGTCCGCTAGTAGTTCTATATTTCCTGATAGTTTTTTTAAAGAGTTCTGGACTTGAAGTCCAGATTTTTTTTGAAAGTAAAATGCTCTACCAGCTTCTTAATCACATCAGAGCATCTCTTATGGATTTCGAAAAATAAGGTCTTATCTAAACAACACATACAATTATTATTGCAAAATAAAATGTTTATTTATAAAATAATGAGCATTTTTCTTGCTTCTAAATTAAAAACTCAATTGCACAGACATAAAAACTCGAATTAAATTCGAATTGTAAGTTAAAATGCTGCCAGTTTGTCAAAACTCTGGTAAAAGAGAAGGAGGAGTTCTGGTCTAGGCTCCAACTGTTTTGCCTAGATTTGTAATGTATAAGTATGTATTGTCCTTTGCATACTTCACAGACGATGTCGAGTCAGGCAAAAAAGCGACCCCGTAGCATGGTTTTCTCCAGCCAGTTAATCTTCGACCTTCTAACTTCTTTGTGGATAAAACTAAAAGCCTGAATTTATGATTACGTAATTAGCTAACCAACAAAACGTCTAGTGACCATATCAATATTAAAAATCTTATTTATTTATATTATTACGCCTTTTTCTCGAAATGGCAGAGACCATGAATCTCCACTTGCCACGGTCCAATAACTCTCTCGCTTCATCTGCTTTCATGGCATTCAACATGCTTTTGGGTACTTTTGACTTGTCCCTTCTCTAGTACGTCCTGGATTTGATCCAAGACCTCTCCATCCACAGTTGCCTTGTGTATCCTACTCGTTAACCACTTCTCATTCTTCCCTACCCCAGACCACTAAAGCATTCCCTTTTGTATCCTTGTCTTCTCTTTTAACCCACACTGCTCACTATTACTTATCCTCATGCAATGTTACACCACTTATACTTCTTAACGCTCTCATTTCCACTGCATTTATTCTACTTTCGTTCTTTCTCTGTCACACCCTTAAAATCTATTATGTTTTAAATAAATATATTGATTTGGATATTACAAGAAAATATTGTGTATCTCATCAGTAATACTTGTTATTAATTTAGATTTAGAGATTTAGAGTTATGTTCCCTTAAGTGTGAATGATTTAACCAAGTTAGTTGGTTGGTTGGTTGCGAGACTTGGTTTTTCTTACTTTTTTATTTTATTCTACAAGTTATGTTTTTGATGACATTTATGTTAACACGAGATATTTAAAAGATAGATATCTTAAATCTTATTTAATGGTGTAACGGCGTACAGGAGAAGCCGGCTTGCATTTGACCAATATTCTTTAAAAATTTAAAGGCAAGAGGCAGCACGGCTTCCCGCGGCTCCCACTTCACCCTCCTTTTTACGTTTCACAAATTTAACATATTTCCAAGTGTGACCTGGAGGTCTATTACGTTTGGAACAGCTTCAGAGTCCTTGTATTAATTTGTGGCTCCAGGTCTTACCTGTCAGCTGAGAACACTGAATATACTAGAATTGGTTGTGATACGCTTTGGTGAATCAGGACCAACCGCTATGTGGAACCAGCTGCCCATTGAAGTATTTACTAAGAAATACCAATTAGGGTCCTTCAAAGCCCGTACCAATTATTAAAGCCTGGCCACGCACATACCTTCTGCTATTAAGAATTGGGATCGTCCATGAGCGAGCCTTTTGATTGTTAATCGCATGTTCTATGAGAAACATTGGTTCGTACATTATCTTGAAAATCTTCTTCGTTAGCAAGCTCTTTCTAAATCAAAAAATCAAGTGTAAAAAAGATAAAAAAATATTACACTTCCAATTTAGATTTTACTAGTAATTTTTGCTAAAACAATGTGGATTAGGTACCCGATGGGTGTTTAAGGGGGCGTCCATAAATTACGTGAGGTGTTTTTTTAAATTTTCTGTGACTCCCTCCCCCCCTGGTGAGATGTCGTGAGATTTTATTCAACCCCCTCCCCCAACCCCCAATCTCACGTGAGATTTTTCAAAAGGTGGTTTATGGACGCCCCCTAACAATTCTTTTAAATTAAAATTAATCAGCCAACTACCTGATATCAAGCTCTGGATAAAATAAAAACAAAACAGTGACGCTATCACCTTGTTAGGTCTGGGCTTCAGATTTCGGTTTTTTTTTGCAAAAGGGCAGAAGGCTCATCTGATGTGAAGTGTTACCGCCACCCATGGACACATTGTCAGAAAGTGCGTTGCTGGCCTTATAAGAATTGGTACGCTCTTTTCTTGAAGGACCCTAAGTCGAATTGGTTCGGAAATACATCAGTGGCAGGTTCCACAGTGGTGGTGCGCGGCAAAAACTGCCTTTCAAAACGTTTATTTGTCAATCTAATAGGCAAGTTTTTGACTATCCTACTCCTACACACGCCGTCGACAGTAAGGCCCTAAGGCAAGCCGGTTTACTCGCAATGTTTTCCTTCATCGTTCGACCGAATGTTAAATGCTCACATAGACAGAAAGTTCACAGTCGCTGTTCGAACCTACGACCTCAGGGATGAGACTCGCACGCCGACGCCGATACGCAAATCTACGACATAAGATTTTTGCTTTCCATATAAGATATTTAAGCTATCACATAAACGAAACTAGGCATTAGGGATAGTGTTGACTGTTTCTATTGCCTAGTTCGGCATGCTACTCATCCTAGAGGACGTAGATTTGACCAGTTCAACACTCGAACGGTGGGAGATAATCGTAATACCGATATTCACAAAAAGCTGATCAGGTATTTAAAAGATATTTTGCACCATCGCTATGTGGAACCAGCTGCCCACTGAAGTATTTCCGAACCAATTCAACATACAACCTTCAAAGAGTGTACCAACTCTTGAAATGGCCGACAACGCCCCAGCCCTCTGGCATTGACTACACACTTCTGGCATTGACAACAAGACTTACGGTCCTTCAAAGAGCCTACCAATTCTAAACCGGCACTTGCAAGCCTTCTGGCATTGACCATGGGTATCACTTAACATCAGATGAGCCTCTGTTCTATAAAAAGGTTGTAGTGCTGTTTTTGACGTGACAACGTCTAATAAATCGATGAATCGGTGCAGCCGCACGTAGGAAAATGCATGACACATTGTTCCGCTACGCTCATTGTCTCGTTACGCTCATTGTACGCTGCATCTATCTCTCTCCCACTTTATTGGCGTTAGCGTCCGAGGATTCATTCCTTCTTTGTATCCATACAAAATAGTGATAATTCAATAAAAATGATTTAAATTTTATTCATAAACGTATGCAATCATTTCATCAATGTTTTGTTATGACGTTGTCACGGTAAACCGACTTTACGGACAACCATTTTTTAGCTTAGAACTTAAACTTAGAACAGGCTCCTAAATTACATAGTAAGCTGACTTTCTTAACTATGTTTTAAACCGAATGAATCTTTGTAAATTAATAGTCTAAACTTTTTATAAAGGCTTTTTAAAAATGGGAGTTATTATAACTTAGTAACAGTAGTGTTAACACAATTTAAACTCTACCAATACATAGTACATGTATTAATCATTACTTGAACATAAATCAATCTCAAAGATTAGTTACGGTTCAGTATATAAGGAAGTCGATTTCATTTTCAAAATAGAAAAATGAAGTTGATTGCACCTCTTCTGTTATTGTGTAAGTACTTTTTAATCTAAAAAAAATCAAGATTTTGATAAATAATCGGCGTTGCACCTAGGTCCATGAATTATCCTATAAACAAATTCTTCTTACTCCGATGACGTGTATTATCGGTGTCCAATGATTTGGGGCGGATTTGGGGCGAATGTGTCCCATGTTTTGAATCAAAATTTATTAAAACCTTAGTAATAAAAGCCGGTTAATTTACGCCACGGAGTTTTAACAACTGTAAGACGAGTTTAGTATTCGTATGTAATAATAAGAACACGTTGTTGCTTATACAATAAACTCTTTATTGCTGGACTTAATCTAGAGATATCTATTGCATTATTTTATATATTAGCTGTGCTCTACGGTTGCACCGGCATTAATTCGGTAGCACGATGTTCTATAGACTAAAGCTAGCGGTAAATACTTTAAAATGCAGATATATATATTTTTTTGTGGTCTCCTATAAAACAGTATCCGCAGCATATAGGAATATTTTAATTTCGTAACCTAACTTTTTTGAAAATGTTCTATATTTTCATTAGGGACTTAGGATTCTAATGGGGAAAGAATTTTAAATCAGTCCAGTTTTAGAGGGTATTCAATGCAAACGATCAAATTTTTCCTCTTTATAATATTGGTGTAGAATGTTCCAACTTATCTGTCTTTAGATAATGACCTCCAAATGTCGCCACGATATGTCCTCCGCTGTACATACATCAGCTAACTTTCTTAGATCTTCCTCTGTCTCACCTGCGTTCCCTTGCTTCTCTTTCCATCCCTAGGGTACTCTATTACCGTCTTTGTCCATTGTCTCTTCGTTTATTAAGTCCTTGCATATTTTGCATCCTAAAATTTAGTTGTTTTATCTTATTTCTCAATAATTAATATTGCAGACATCTTTCCATCCCGAGGCTACTCTGTTACTGCTTTCTCTATCGTCTCTTCCTTTTTTAAGTCTTTACTGATAGTATTTAATGATTCTATAATTAATTTAACAGCAATATTCCTTATATCGGAAACACTATCCCAGGATGTGTTTGAAACTTCACTGGATGATGACACAGATGTCTACAATAATGTGAACATGATGAACGCATTGCGTAAAAAGAAAAGGCTGTTTGAAAACCTATTTAAAAGACCGAAGAAAATGCCAAAAGAAGAGGATGTGGATTCATTTAATTGGGAGATCATAAAAGCGATACTGCCGAAGTTAAAGAAATTGCCGTGGGACTGGATTCTGAATATGATAAGACGGGCGATCCGTAATCGTCTGGGTGAATATTGATGGAAATATAATATTTGAAATTATTTTATTTTATTTATGCTCTCAAACATCACACATGTTAAAACGACATGATGACCATGCAATTTACTCAGCAGTAGCCCGCAATATCGCAGCACACTCGAGGGGACTCTGTGTCGAAGAAGTCGCATGAGTCCGCCAAGCTTAAGTATATTAAATGTAATTATACTTCATTATGTCAGAATAAAGAAGTAGCAAATAATTAACACAGCACGGTTGCTAAACGACTCGGCGAAAGGTAATGTTGCTGATAACGTCCACCGAGTCATTTTTCATCACAGTTAATAGTCCTAAGCATGAAACGATGAGCACAAACGTGAACAGGCGTGTAATAGGGTTATTTGTTACTAGTTAATCGTTTAGTGGTTAGAGACTTTAAGTAAATCCGTATTTATTTATTTATTTATGTCCCTTGGCGTTGCGTAGAGATGTGGGTCACTCTGCATCTTCTACCGCATTTACCATGGAGACTGTCAAGGCACAATACAAAATTCCACCCGTATCACCTATTTTAATTTAGTTGGTTTTGGCAGTAATCATATTAAGTATTGTTCTGTTTCATCTAAGCATTTCTTAGTGTAAAATAAGTTTACATTAAAAGCCGAAACATCATAAAACAAATAGTTAAAATTGTTTTATTTTTATTAATTTCGCCTTTGTTAAGGGGGCCTGGTGCCACGTCTACCCTTAGGGACTGCAAATAACCTTCCTTTCCGCCGTCACAAATAAACTGAGTTGTTGCAGAACTAGGATTACTAATCCCCGAAAAACCTTATCTGTTTGATAGCAGGCAAGCTGCAATTCCCGTCGGCTTCTTGTTGTATTCAGCTATCCCATAGAATAAGTACCATTAAGCCGTTAGTATAAAACCGTGTAAATTTATTCCGAATGTGTATGTTATCACCTTCCCCTTCCGAAAGCATTACACGGCAGTGATTCTTCTGGGAAGGCGATTGATTAGTTTTAACTAAATGCAGTAAATCAATATTTCTATTTTATCTGTAGATGTTCAATGCATGGCTAATTCAAGAAAACCCATGAAATTAAAAAGATAATCGTTATAATTGAGTATCATTTGAATCAGCACAAAATGATTTTTCACGTTGCATTTGTTGGTAAGGCATAAATCTTTAATAAAATAAAAATAAATGTTTTTTTTTTTAAAGTTTCTACAACCATTTTTACGTCTGGGCCTCGGATTTCTGTATCTGTTTCACGATTTGACTATCTAAAGCCGGGTTCAGATGAGTGTAAAGGTGGGTACTGATCAACGTTACGAGGTGTAATGTAACACGTTACACAGCGAGCATTCGTGCAGTCAGTACGTCGTGTTACGGGGAAACCAGCGAGTGGCTCGTTGCTCGTTTTAAGTGCTCCACCCGGCTGTCGGTTTTTTGGCGAATCCTTTGACTGTTACGCGGTTCAATCAGTGCGCGTCGCACGTCGCGAGTGATCATGATTATGATTATCTATAAATTGTGTCTTTTTTAAGTACTTTTGGTCCAATTAAATTCACGACTTGTTCAAAATCGATCGGAGACATGCGTACAAAGTTTTTATACTGTCCAGTAATCATTTGGTATTTTAAAATTGCTATCAATGATAAACCACCACATACGCCTCTGTTTTTAAATAAGTTTGATGTCCAGTAAGATTGCAATATTAAAAAACCAAATGATTAATGGACAGTGTAAAAAATTTGTACGCATGTCTCGATTTTGAAGAACTGTTGAATTTAATTGGACCAAAAGTACTTAAAAAAGACACAATTTATAGAAAATCATAATCATGATCACTCTCGATGTGGGCCGCGTACTGACTGAACCGCGTAACAGTCAAAGGATTCGCCAAAAAACCGACAGCCGGGTGGAGCACTCAAAGCGAGCAACGAGCGGCTCGTTGCTCGCTGGTTTCCCCGTAACACGACGTACTGACTGCACGAATGCTAGCTGTGTAACGTGTTACAATACACCTCGTAACTTTGGTCAGTTCCCACCTTAAAAGGTTGTAGCGCCAGTGATTAATTTATTTATTATTTTTGATATTTATTTAAATGTAAATTACTATATAAATATAATTTCTTAATTGATTACCTAAGAATTGCTTGAAAATTATGAAACAGCTGCAGAAATGCAGGTCCAGCTAGATGTTTTGAAACAGCGTGAATAAAAATACTACTTTAGTTTCAGTGACAACATTCATACTAATAAATAATATTATATGTGAGTTATCAAACTCGAAAAATGATAATAATATTTGGGATAACTATTATTTTAGAACGAACGCAGACGACGAAGTTGATTTCCAAAATGGTGTAGTTTTTAAAGCAAAAATGAAAGATGATGAAGATGAAGATCTAAAAAAATCATATTTAACTAGATATGAATATCTGGAAGCCAAAAAGAGTAAAAGGGACTCAATAAGGGAAGCACCAATAGTTAAACGTTATGTTATTAAAGATAAAAATGGTAAAAAAGAACAGGTGATGATACGTTATTTTAATGATAAAAGAAATTCTGTAATTGACGATAAAAACAAACTAATTGAAGATAGTCCACTTATTATTCGTTACTATAAAGACGTAAATGACGAGAGAGTCGTAAAACCGACATTAAATCAAATTGTGCCGATGAATGCAAACCTGCGTGGTAAAAAAGACAAAATGGAAAAAGAAAAGCTGTTTTTCCCGATCCCGTTCATCATAGCCAAAATTGGTTGGCTTGCACTTGAAGGTGTAATTTTGGGTGCTATTGCTAAAGGAGTTGATGAAGGCGTTGAAGCTATAAAAAGAGAAGTTGGTAAAAAAAATTATAAATTATAAATGTATAACACAGGCTGTTATTTTTTTCATAGATATGGTGTCTAAGAATGTATTATATCCGGTCCGATAGACAAAAAATATTCAAGAAAAGAGCGTACCAATTAGTAAACCATACCAGTTTTTTTAAGCAAACGGGCAGGAGACTAGAAGGTTCGTAAGTGCCTTGTCGGTCCTTGAAGAATTGGTACGCTCTCTTAAAGGCTGGTAACGCATTGCGAGCCTTCTGGCATTGGCAGTGTCCATGGAGGTATAACATAACATCTGGTGATCTTGCCAGTTTGCCTCACCAATTTATAAAAGGCCGGCCGAGCCAATGGCATTGAAACACAATATATATAAAACTTTGAGTGGAATGCTAACCGCATCACGTGGACAACTGCAAAGCCGAAGAGTTTACGTGTATGTTGATGTCGTTTTTAGAATAAGAAGGTACTCATACGTATATTCTTGGTCTACATAGTGTGTGTTAAGTTGTGCAAACACCAGGCGTCTAAGATAAATCTAAACATGAAAATGTGTTTTTACATTAAAGACAATGCTGGATCGTTTATTTATCATGTGATTCAGGGATCAGATATAAAAAACTGCAAAAGATCTTTTTGAAGTGAAAACTTCTTTAGCGGCGTTGTACACTTTTTTTGGAATGGGTAAAAAATGTTAAACTGGCGTCAAATCACCTGACCTGATCGAAAATTCGTTAGACGGATGGAGAGTAGACAGCTGGAAATTAAATATAAATATATGTATATATGAAATTCACGGTATATACGCTTAAATTCTATCTATAATTTTTTTCCCTACACGTATCGATCCAGAATCGACTGTCAACTGACTAAAAGATATCATCAAACAACTGTCAAGAGCTGTAACTGTGTATTATTCTGTGCATAATAGTGTTCTGTGCTACACTATTATGCGTAGACGGACAATGGTATAGACCAGGCATCAGCGTACAGCGTGTGAGATAGCAAATGATCGACATATGTCGTATTTACAGTTTTAATTCATTGAAGATTGCTTATTATTGAACAAAATACACATTCGAATTAATAATTATTGAACAAAGTTACTGAGTCGTGACAAAATAAGCTACTTACCGATGAAAGATGTTTGGTTCTTTACGTTCACCATAGCTTTTACAGCCAATTATGCAACAATTCACCACGACTGACACTTTAAATACACCTCTTATAAGGATAAAATCTTAAAATATGGGTTTGACTTGGGTTTCACAGATTTATCAGTAAGCGGTGAAAACTTGTTTACCACCAAGGGCTTGGTGGTAAACAAATAAAACCCGATAATATGCAAATAGAGACAGAAAAACTGATACTCTGTTTCGCTCGCACTTAAGTATTTCACGTTAATGCCTTCTCTCTTTAGTTATTATTGTTATTTTAGAAGCTCATCTAGTTCTATACTCTATCTACGCTATTATGACTATTGCTTACTGTCTTAATATTCAAAACCAAAAATATTTAGCAAGTAAAAGCATTGGCCTAGAAATGAACACTTCCAAAGCTACAGTTATGACTAACAACAAAGAACGACCAGTTTTTTGACAATGCCACGAGTCTTGAATATGTCCCGAACACGAAGTTATTTTGTTTTAAATTTATTTCGATTAGGTCTATTAAAAAAGGCACTTTTGAAAGTCCAAATTTCAAGTTAAAAATATTTAAAAAACGTTAGTAGTTTCATATGTAGAAGAATGGGCAAGAAACTCCATTCTTACTCTTTTAAAATGGTTTTTACAATGATTTGATAATTACTTGCCTAGAACAAAAAAAAAAAAAAACTATACTAAAATTATTATGTAGATACATGGTGCTCACATATTCACAAATATTGCAACTATTAATTTTACATTATTCTTTATATAAAATCAAAATAATTAACATACAGTCAATCGGGTATGTCGAAGTTAATTTCTTTTTCAAAAATAAAAGCAAATATAAACCTGTATGACTAGATTAGCAACCAGTTTATTTTGTCTACTTTGTTTGTCCTATGGATCAATTAATTATTTCTAAAGATTGCCAATCGGTCACAATACTTCACCTTGCAAAACTTAATAAAGTAAATAGCAATATTTGCATTTTCTGTAAAATCGCCGACATATTTTCTTCAAATGTCAAAACCAAATGTTCATTATTCATAAATTAGTATATATAGTATTGCTATATTGATTAGGCCACAAAATTATTAAAATAATTAAATATATACGTACTTACGTATATATCGCTAATTATGCTCAAGGCTTGACTACTGACATGAGATCAAGGTCTTCATCAAACTTCATAGAAAAATGGTTTAAAAGCTCATCTATGGCTACAGTTTAAAGTTTGATAGTATATATAATAGTGAATATGGATTGAAATGTTATATTTGAATTTATTTATGCTCTCAAATATCACACATGTTAAAATTACGCCAAGCTTATTATACCATGTAAATCGGCGTCCATGCGTCGGTTTGTCTCTCTCCCTAAAATAGGCGAGGGGGCCGATGGCTGGCCATGCGTCATACTCGTGAACAGGTGCTACTTGTGGTGCGACCAGTCACCAGTACATGAATTCGTGTATGCGGTGATGTTAGTTATTTCGACTATGTGTTTGCGTATTGTTCCCACGAGAATGTAAGTGCGTGCTCCTATTTCACCATGCCTCCTGTTGATAGAAGACAAGACTTTGTTTTTAATTTATGTTATTATTATTAATTTCTTAAGATGTCATGTGGAACATGGTGTAATGGTTGCAGCTCCTTACAAACGTTGTGTAAAACAAAAACTTGGCGATTAAAAAGAGTGGCGGAGAGTTTATTGACAGTTCTTCACTTCCGTTCTACGCCCTTGATTTAAGAACTGGCAATAAATGTAAACTTATAAGCAATTCATTTACATTTCTTTTTTTGACGTTCATAAGTGTACATTGTTTTACCTATATGATTAAATTATTTTTGACTTTTTGAAATATGTACTTCATTATGTCAGAATAAAGAAAATAATCGCAAATAATTAACACAGCACGGTTGCTAAACTACTCGGCGAAAGGTCTCCATAGAGTTGCTGAAAACGTCCACAAGTCATTTTTCATCACAGTTAATAGTCCTAAGTATTAAACGATGAGCAAAAACGTGAGATAGGCGTGTAAAATAGATATTTGTTTCTAGTCAAACTGGTAGTGGATAGGGAGTTTAGTAAGCAAATCCGTATTTATTTTTTGTTTATATCCTGGCGTTATATTATGGCGTTGCGTAGAGATGTAGTCATTCTGCATCTTCTACCGCATTTACCATGGGGACTGTCACGGCACAATACAAAATTCCACCCGTATCACCTCGACGTCATTCACAACTGAGTGTTTTTGGACACCACCACTGCACCACTCTGTGGAAGCAGCTGCTCACTGAAGTATTTCCGAACCAATTCCCTGAAAAAGAAATCCCTTGTTGTAAAGAAAACGATGTTTTTAAATTTAGTTGGTTTTGGCAGTAATCGTATTAAGTATTGTTCTGTTTCATCTAAGCATTGCTTAGTGTAAAGTAAGTTTACATTAAAAGCCGAAACATCATAAAACAAATAGTTATAATTGTTTTATTTTTATTAATTACGCCTTTATTAAGGGAGCCTGGTGCCACGTCTACCCCTAGGGACTGCAAATAACCTTCCTTTCCGCCGTCACAAATAAACTGAGTTGTTGCAGAACTAGGATTACTAATCCCCGAAAAACCTTATCAAACGTAGCAGGCTAGCTGCAATTCCCGTGGGCTTCTAGTTGTCTTCAGCTACCCCATAGAATAAGTACCATTAAGCCGTTGGTATAAAAACCGTGTAAATTTATGCTTAATGTGCTCCAGAGCGCATTATACAAGCTTGAAATAGCTTTTATAATGCGTGAATTATATGCAGCGAGAAGTTGTGGCTTCAGTCTGCGACTCTCATACCTGAGGTCGTAGAATCCCGGCCGCAACAATGTACTTATCATGCGCATTTAACAACCGCTCGTACGGTGGAGGAAAACCGGAGGATACCGGCTTACCTTAGATTCAAAGTCGACATGTGTCATGTGCACAGGCGGCTGATCACCTTCTTGCCTATAAGACAAATGATCATGAAACATATACAGAAATCTGGGACTCAGACCTAAAAAGGTTTTAGCGCCACTGATTCCTTTTTTTGTGTGACTTAGATTCACATTAGGTCCGTTGTGCGTAAATTCCTGGTCAACTTAGCCAGCCTAGTTCCTTCCAGAAGCATAGAAGTCTCCTGGGCACTTCGCAGGCTTCACGGCTTCGACGATTTCCCGGGTCCCTTGGGTTAAAGTTAAAGGCGTTTGGAGGGCTGAGGTGGGTTTAGTGGGTAGGGTCTCGCTACCCCTCTGAATAGCAGAGGGCTTTGAGTTGAACGCAGCACCACAGTCCCCGCATCAAGCTCGCTATCCATGGTTCGAATGGTGAAAGAAATCAAATCGGTCCTCAAAAATGTCCGAAAACATATACATACGTTTATTTATTTATTTATACTTTATTACCTTATACGAAAACATACATATAAAAAATCCAGGTTGCAAAAGTTATAAGGCAACGGGCGGCCTTATCGCTAACAAGAGATTTCTTCCAGGCAACCCTAATGTGGAACAATAAAAAAGAAACACCCTCAGAGGGTAGAGTACAAGAAGTGCATAAATAATTAACAAAAAAAAACTCAAAATAACACGTAACAATAACTAGAATTAAATAAAGTAAAATCAAAAGAAAAAATAATAATAAAATATGTATAAACAAAAATTAAAAAGTCAATCGAAAGGTTAACTAAATCTCAATAATTAATGTATATCAGTAGAGCAAATTACGAGGCAGAAAGAAAATGATCAAAAAGAAGCTTTTGGAATAAATTTAAAAACTAAGTCCGTCTAATATCAATTGGTACATTTATCTAGTGTAGAAAAAACTTCTTTTCAAAACATCTTTGTGTTTCTAATGTTCAATCATGACAATTTATGTTCTGGGAAGAAGAGTCTCCCCCATTAAGCTGCTACTTGTGAGGACCAGGATTACTAATGCTGTAAACAATCCAAATAAGTAAATAATAATAATAATTTATTAATGTCAAAACAATGTGGTACATTATTAAAATCCGCACGTCAGCCATATAAAAATAGGCATGCAAATGTCATAATGATAAGAACTGTTTAGTTAGTCATAAATGTTATCAAAACTTTTGGTCTTAATACTTTACCTATGAAGACACCTTGCCTTTAATATCTAATCATCACCTTCCCCTTGAAAGCATTACACGGCAGTGATTCTTATGGGAAGGTGATTAAAGTTTTAATTAAATGCAGTTGAAGACAATATTTTTATCTTATCTGTGGATCATAAAGCAGTAGTCAATGCATGACAAATCCCAGTAAAGCCATGAAATTAAAAAGATAATCGTTATAATTGAGAGTATCATTTGAATCAGCGCAAAATGATTTTTCACGTTGCATTTGTTGGTAAGGCTTAATTCTGTAATAAAATAAAAACCAATGTTTTTAAAAAAAAGGCTTCTACTACCATTTAAAGTCTGGGTCTCGGATTTCTGTACCTGTTTCATGATATGTCAATCTAATTGGCAAGTAGGAGATCAGCAGCCTGTACTTAACACGCCGTCGCCGTTTTTCTTACAACATCCTAAAAAGGGTTGTAGCGCCGCGACAGTGATTAATTTATTTATTATTTTTTATATTTATTTATTTGTACATATTATTTTTGTAACCCTTTGAAATGTAAATTACTATATATATATATATATATATATATATATGATTTCTTAATTGATTACCTAAGAATTGCTCAAAAATTATGAAACAGCTGCAGAAAAGCAGGTCCAGCTAGATGTTTTGTAACAATATGAATAAAAATACTACTTTAGTTTCAGTGACAACATTCATACTAATAAATAATATTATATGTGAGTTATCAAACTCGAAAAATTATAATAATATTTGGGATAACTATTATTTAAGAACGAACGCAGACGACGAAGTTGATTTCCAAAATGGTGTAGATTTTAAAGCAAAAATGAAAGATGATGAAGATGAAGATCTAAAAAAATCATATTTAACTAGATATGAATATCTGGAAGCCAAAAAGAGTAAAAGGGACTCAATAAGGGAAGCACCAATAGTTAAACGTTATGTTATTAAAGATAAAAATGGTAAAAAGGAACCGGTGATGATACGTTATTTTAATGATAAAAGAAATTCTGAAATTGACGATAAAAACAAACTAATTGAAGATAGTCGACTTATTATTCGTTACTATAAAGACGTAAATGACGATAGAGTCGTAAAACCGACATTAAATCAAATTGTGCCGATGAATACAAACCTGCGTGGTAAAAAAGACAAAATGGAAAAAGAAAAGCTGTTTTTCCCGATCCCGTTCATCATAGCCAAAATTGGTTGGCTTGCACTTGAAGGTGTATTTTTGGGTGCTGTTGCTAAAGGAGTTGATGAAGGCGTTGAAGCTATAAAAAGAAAAGTTGGTAAAAACAATTAAAAATTATAAATGTATAACACAGGCTTTTATTTTTTTCAAAGATATGGCGTCTAAGAATGTATTATATCCGGTCCGATAGACAAAAAATATTCAAGAAAAGAGCGTACCAATTAGTAAACCATACCATTACATTTTTCTTTATATAAAAACGAAATAATTAACATACAGTCAATCGGGTACGTCGAAGTTGAATTATTTTTCAAAAATAAAAGCAAATAGAGTCTGGCTAATGAAAGAAGATAATTGCATTATATGAAAACTATCGGATGGCAACACAGAATGTCATTGAATTTCTTAGGTTAGTATGATTTAATGTCTTGATACTTCATGCAATTACTCATTTTTATTTCTATTTTATATTTTTCGAATAGTTAAAGGTATAATAGCCTAAACTTTGTTTTATAGATTTTTGGATTCTGATTTTGATTATTCCGAATAAAGTTGTGTTTTATAATAAATATAGTTTTAGTTTTCCATTATTGCTAGTCACTTAAAGTATCAATAGTAAAAGACTAAATACATATAGTATTTAATTTCTTAGAAATACAGTTATGTAAAAAATAATAAAATAAAAACAAGTAAGTTTAATCCACAAAATATATCAAACTTTTAGGGATACCATAAGTACCTTTTTTTTTAAATTTGCCTCGCCTTTTCGTTATCTTCTTTCATTGTCCAAACCAAATGTTCATTATTCATAAATTAGTATTGCTACATTGATTAGGTCACAAAATGTTTAAAATAATTAAATATTTCTTATTAAATATACTTATACCGCTAATTATGCTCAAGGATGTAGTGACATGAGATCAAGGTCTTCGTAAAACTTCATACAAAAATGGTTTAAAAGCTCCAGCAACTAGTTTAAACTTTGATAAACGGGACGTTTGAATCATGGCAATGAACGTCTTTTAATTTATAAAATTTTGCCAACGCTCGGCATACTGATACATTGGTACAATATATATAAAATACAATATTTAATGTGACAAGCTATTGTATACACAGAGATTAAACAAAACAATTCAATAATAATGTACTAAAGTAAAATCGATGTTAACTTTGAAATATCAATCTTAATATACATAAATTACGTGTCACGTTGTTTGTCCGCTATGGACTTCTAAACTACCGAACTGATATCAATCAAATTTGCACACCGTGTGTAGTTTGATCCAACTTAAAAGATAGGATAGCTTACATCTCAATTTATACCCGCAATATTATTTTATTGCAAAATATTTGTTTATTATTTGATCGTCACAATTCTAACAGATGGCGCTGTGTTGAAAGAACCAACCACCAAAAAAGCATGGTGGTCCCAATGACTAGTATTCTCCTACCGTTTCCCTTGAATAGTTTGCTACTATGTAATATAACAAAAACCTTAGCCACAAACGCTTGGCCGGTCTGCTAGTATATTATATTTGGAATATGATATCCGGCCCGGCCTATATCGTTTATCAGAAAGCTCAATCTGCATTCAAACTCTAACTCAAACTCAAAATATCTTTATTCATATAGGTATATTTGTTTAGTGTGTTAAATAATTTATATAGTTAAATTAATTGTAAATTTACATTCATTACCAGTTCGGCAAGAAGAACTGACAAGAAACTTTCCGCCACTCTTTTTAATCGCAAAGTTTTGAGTCATACAAAATTCTGTCATTCTGTCCAGCACGGTTGTATCTCGTATGCGGTCTGTCCAAGATATTTTAAGTCTGTAAACCCAGATCTCGAACGCTTCCAGTTTTTAGGACAGTCTCTGTCAGCGTCCAAGATTCAACGCCGTTCAGCAGCACAGAGTAACATCGCGCAATGCGCGCTCTAAGTTGTAAATGTGGGCGCTTCTCACAAAGTACGTTTTTTCGAAAACAGAATTTTGTTAAAATTTAAGAGCTCTATTTTCATATTATTGTATTGTAAATTAGCTGTGCTCTGTAATACACCCGCATTAATTCGATCGTAGCACGATGTCCTATAGCCTAAAGGTTTGAGGTAAATAGATTTTGAATGCACGAAGATTTTTAATAGAAGTTGTTAATTTAGGCGCTTGTCACAAAGTACTTTTTTAGTTTCGAAAATAGGCATAATGCGGAACGTTAAACACGAAGACATAATTATCTTTTCAGTAGATATGTTTGTAATAATTGCAATTGATTTGATAAGACATGTTAATTAAATTTCGATTTGAAATTCTTCATTTAGATTCGAAATTCTTCATTTAGATTGAAGTCATATTTCAACATGATCGCTTATCTATTTATCACTTATGGTATGTTATACTTTTGTTATTTAATATTCGTTTATTCATTATAAATATATAAATATATATCGCCAACATTTATTTCAATCCTTGTCACCGTCGACAGGATGGTTCATCTTATAAATCTTTGGTGTCTTGGCCTGAGATTACTAATTCTGTCTGATTTTTAAAGACAAGTAGGTGAGCATCTGCCAAAACCCCTTAAGTGTCCCCGTCTCGCCAGTTTCCTTGCGATGTTCGTTCGAACAATTTCTAAATAGACAGAAAAGTCTATTTTTACGACCTTTACTTCGTACTGTTATCACTCCAGTGAGCTTCCGTCCTGCCCTTCAGACGATTGAACACCCCGCGACGCCCCAAGCCGAGTTACGAGCCTCACATTAGACGGCCTTGCCCTAGTAGAAGGAAAACTCGCGTTGCGCTCGCCAAAACAGCCCGAGCTGATCTGTAAATGCCTTAATGACAGCTAGAATCCATTAAAAAAAAATAAAAATAAATAAATGGTTCAACCATGATCTCAGGGCAACGTCGCACGCTGAATCCGAAATTACAATTAAGATTACATTTGCTTCGAAATGTTGAGTACTAAAGTTAAACAGTCCAGCATCAGCAAGTTGCCTTCCCTGATTATTCGTAGCTTAATAGTTTTCTCGACTCTTTTCCGGAGAGTGTTCTACTACTGCACGTATTTATCAGCGTATATTCGGTCGTAGCATGTTGTCATACTTCCACTGTTACGTAGCCTATAGCCACCTGCGTAAATAAATGATATTTTGATTTTGACTATTCAACATAAAAAATTGGTCAATTCCTACCAGAAGTATGATATTAGTAAAAAAGTGTATTTTTGTAAATGTACTGATTTCAATGTATGTTTATTTAAATTCTTGAAAATGTCGATAGTTTATTTTCTTTGTTATTACATAACACATATTTGTTTTAGTTTCATTCATACATCTACAAACAACCGAATGCCTTCCACGAGTTGTTTACTTAATTAGAAGCGATAATAATGACTTTACCAACGATTTTAAAGCAGACACATGGAATTTTGACGATGAAAATGATAAAAATCTAAATATGCTTGCAAAAAGAAATGATTTCGGAAATGATAGAGACGTCTTAGACGAAATAGACTATAATGTCAAATATTCGGATGTGTTTGGTGATGGAAATAAATTTCGGACCGAGAAAACATCTAAAATCGTAAATATATTTGAAGACGAAATGTATCAAAATGAAGATAGAGACTTGTTTAAAAACGAAGTAAATAGAAAAAAGAAAGATTTGTTTGTAAGGAACGATTTGAAATATTCTGACATTTTAGCGAAAGCATTCGATTATAGCAGAGGGAATGTAGAAACGAAAACAGATAAATTTGAAACCGACAAAGATGGTGCAGATTTGTTTAAGAATGAATACGAATTCGATAACAATATTGATGACGTAATAAGAGTAAGTCATAATAAAAAATATAAAAGCAAAAAGCACCCTTTAGATATTCATGATAATGAAAAATTATTTCTTGGAAAGAATTTATTCAAACTTATAGCTGATGTCGGTGGTAAACTGGGTAAAGAAATCGTCAAAGGTATAGAATTCGCTGTCGATGAGATAGCTAAGGCCGCATTTCAAGCAGTACCAAAGGTTGTTTATGATGAAGCTACAAAGGGCTGAAGTTGAATAAAGCTTACATACTATCGTTTTTTTTATTCGAGTTGAGTTGAGTTTCAAATTATATAGACGAATCTCGATAATTTGAAACTCAATGGACCAGAGATGCAAATTACCAAGAGTTCAAAATCTCACTCAAGTAAATAAGAGTTTTATCAGAATTTGTGATTTTTTTAAATTGTAACAGGAGGACAAGAGGCTCACCTGATGTAAATTAATCGGCCATGGGCATAGCCAGAAGGCTCGCTTGTTGCCGTACCTTTTAAGAATTGGTACTCTCTTTTCTTGAAGGACCTTAGTTTGAATTGTTTTGATATGGTGATGCGCGGAAAAAAAAATTATTATTTCTATATTATTGTTATTTCGAAAAGAAGTCCGTAATATTTCCAAAGACGGTTTTTTCAGTTAAAAAAATTTAAAAAAAAGTGTCTGCGTGTAACCTTTACGCGCGATTGAAGTAAAACTTCTTTGGCGTTGACGGCATATATCACTGAAATTAAAATAATAAATATCATATTATAATTTAATTATATTTATTATTCATGTGCTTTACACAGATTACTCAAACCTTCGTAGATCAGCACATGTCAATATAACCTTGTTATTGAATATTATAGAATGTCGCAATCGTCAAAAAATTTATTATTGATTTAAAATGTAATAAATCAATAAGTATATTTAGAGATTTCCAAAAAACTTTGAAACTTTACGGGATGTCTGCACGAAGAGGCCTAAACAGGCGTAGTTCTGGTAGGATCAGGGGTTCAAGGTGGTGGGATCATCGGGATCATCAGGATCATCATCTATCGGGCTCATCAGGATAAGGGCTTGAGTCTTTGACACTGTGATAGGTCTGATAATATTCAAATCTGATTGAATATACTTCAATTACACCTATTCACACATGTACTCCTATACTATTATTCTTGTGAGCTGTCAGTAATCAATGTCCTTTAGAAATGTTAAATTCCATCAAAAACAAATTGTAAAAAAACCAAGTCTCTCAACGCAGTTCCATAAAAAGTGAGATCCATGTAATACCGAGTCAGTTCAGTCCCTACTTCAGGTGCCCTCTGTCTTAAGTTATTACGTAATTAGCTAACCTGAAATCTTATAGTGACCATATCAATATTAAAATACAATTTTTTTCTTGAAGCTTCTGTGTCTGCTCGAAGTGCCTTAGAGTTTTGATGATCGGTCATTGATTGACAAAATACAGAAATTTTGACTTGTTATAGTTTTTAAACTACTGGTTCAAATTGAATGAAATTGTATTTAAACAGTCCCTGCTTGGTAAAGTCAGAAAATACATGCTTGTAATATTATTCACAACGATGTTATAGGTGTTCGAAAATGACTTGAACTGCGAGATTTCACGCTGAAGCCACTAGGCCAATACTGCTTGCTTAGGTAAGAGCAATGAGCATAAAAATACAACATTTCTTTGATAAAATTGCACAAATTGATTATTTTTTTAATTCCATAGTGTAAAATTAATTTGTAGGCTTCACACTTGTTTAATTAGCTCAATTAAAATTGTGGATAAAACACAATTGTTCGAAAATTTGTGGTCAATACAAAATGTTTTTTATTTGGTTGATGTTGGCTCTGGGTAAGTTTGTTAGCTAAAAAGTAAGTCTTATAAAGAGGTGATTGTCCATAAACATCCTTTGGACCCTCAATCCTCCATTATTTGGAACCAGCTGCACAGTGAAGTATTTCCGAACCAATTCGACTTACGATCAAAGAGGGTAACAATTTCTACAACACCCTTCTTTCCAACTTCCATATGATATAAATATCACTTGAAAAAGATTGTCCATGATATCACAACATCCGATGAACCTCCTAAAATTAAATTATTTCTAATTTATTACGCCTTTATTCTCAAAATCAAAGTTCAAAGCTGATAGAGGAGAGATAAAGCAAAAGAAGGATGAAATAACCCGTTCTTTTTGATACTTTTTGCCCAACAGCTTCTGTACAAATACCCACCCATGTCATGTTATTATTGTCTAGTAAATCAAACGCCTTCTTCAGTTCATTAGTTAGAATTTGGATTTTTTTTTCATTTCTTTTCACCACGTATATGTCGCAGCCAACTAGATTAATGAACCGTTCAATTAAGTCTAGCCTTTTCAATAAAAAGTCGCCGTTTAACTAGCGGCCCAAAAGATATTCAGCTAGTTGATCAAACAGCTGGGCAAATGACATGGATCGATGACGTTTCATTACTTGCCTAGCCAGTTGACTGTTAATTTAAAATCTTCAAACTGTAACGTAACGCTATATCTATCCACCGTATGGGTCCCCCTCTTCTTCTTTTTCCTCTTCATCCTTTCCATATAGTTGTCTTTAAAGTCCACCATGTATCTGTGCTTGCTATAAATAGATATTAACTCTTTGAATATTCCAGCCATTTACAATACAACAGCGGAAATACCCAAAGATCTAGAAGTTTTAATTGATTTGAGCGACCAGGTATCAAACCTGAGAAACAGTGGTCCAAGAATGCTGGTACCGGATAACCTCGGGAAACGGAGTAAAGGAAGAATGAGTACAATTGGTATATTCCGTTCAAGTCCTCCCATACCGCTGATCCACAAGGAATTATTAGAGCATTTGGTTGATTTAATATAATGAATGGGTGGATATATATGTTATTTTATTAATAAAACAGAAGAGCATCTGGGCACGGGAGCATCTTTTCTCAAAACAGTACAGGCCATTTTCGACCTTCCTATAGTGTTGTGCTGGATTAAATTATGTATCACAATAATAAAAAAAAATCAGTGGCGCTACAACCTTTACTGTTCGGGCCTCAGATTTCTGAATCTGTTTCATGATTGTCAATCTAATAGGCAAGTAGGTGATCACGCCGTCGTGGATCTAAGGCAAGACGGTTTCCTTCGAGCGAGTGTTAATGGAAAGTCCATTGCACCACCATGGTTCTCCGACCTCAGGTATGAGAGTCGCACGCTGATATTATAGGCCAACGCTGCTTCAATCTATCGCAATAAACAATCTTATTCATTATTATAATATGAGAGATACATCGTGTTTAGATGGCCAAGTCAATTTATTTAAAACATAAAATAAAAGATCTGTTATATTCATATTGTGGGTATCGAACGGGTAAGCACATAACAAATATGTGCAGGAGAAATGTAATTAAACAACCATCTTAGGCAAGCCTTAAGTACCGATTCCTTTATTTAAATCATTTTCAATATAATGTAAATGTTTAGGTGCCATGGATATGTATCTACAATATGGTCACTATGAGATGTTAGGTTAGCTTAATAACTTAAGGTACATAGTATTGTCTTTGATTAACATAACTCATTTAAATAAAACACTATTTTGACCGAGTCACCGTGACCACGCACGCTGTAAAGCACGCGAAACGTCGGATAAATTTAAAATTATGTTAAATAGTTGTAAATTTATAATAATACATAACTTCAATCCGGTCAAAATAGTGTTTTAACTTAAGGTACCTTAAGTAGAGACTGAGTTGACCTGGCATTACATGGATCTCACTTTTTACGTTAGAAGATCTGAGTTGCGAGACTTTTTACAAGTTATGTTTTTGATGGCATGTACATTGTACATAATATAAACACATTAATGACTTTAATAACTTCACAATATAACCTGCCAAATCCTCTAAAAAGTACTTAATTCTTTCATCATCGGACGTCAAGGCAGAATACAAAATGCCACCCGTATCTCCTCGACGTCCGTCGTTCCACAACTTAGCGTTTTGACTTAGGGTCCTTCAAAGAGCGTACCAATTTTTAAAAAGCTGGTAACGTACTCGCAAACACTCTTTTCATTCAAGAGAAGTGGGCCATGTTCTATAAAAATGAAATAAAAATGTTAGGTCTATTTAGACAAAAAGTGGCCTATGAGGCCTTTTTTGAAAGTCGGCAACTTGGTCCTATTCCTGATCGCTCCACGGGCAATAAGATGAATAAATAAGAAAAGAAGAGATGCTTCAACACACATCGAATTGAACCTTCCTCGTTTTTTTTAAATGATGCTTATATTTGCTACATTGGAACCTGATTCAAATTCCATGTTAACATTGTGGACGTTTTGCACACGTGCATAATGCCCCTTTCGTTGAAATCTTTATTATAGAACAGGGTGCAAAACCCTCACCTAATGTTAAGTGAATGCCCATGGACACTCTCAGAGAGCTCGTGAGTGCGTTGGTCATTTAAGTCGTTTGAGAAACGGGACACTTCTCACTGTAATGTATAGAAAACTCATCTTTTATGATTCTTATAAGCGTGCGATCGCTTGATATGATCTACGATCGTCATAAAACTCTTACTCTTACTTATATTTTAGTGGATTAAGGGTGTGCTGGCTTCACATGGCTGGACATTTTAAATATTTTGTAAGTTGCCTTCAGTATATTTATTTATAAGGAGGAACAAATAGGTACATTACTTGAATAGTAACATTCTAATGTTGAGAGAATTTTCATAAAGTACTGTTCGCATCTGGCAGGAGCTCCCCAATACCTGCTCCTTCCACCTAACTGTATTCAGCGAAGAGCGATTCAAATCGTTGACCAACAGTCACGCTCTAATCGCCTTGATTAGACGTTGCGTAGAGACGTGGGGTTTTCTCTGCATCTTCTACCGCACTTACCATGGAAAGTCATCGGACGTTGAGGAAGAAAACAAAATTCCACCCGTATCACCTCCACGTCCGTCGTTCCACACCACTAATGAGGAACCAGCTACCCACTGAAGTATTTACGAACCTATTCGAAATAGGGCCCTTCAAGAAAAGAGCGTACCAATTCTTCAATGACCGGCAACGCGCTCGCGAGCCCTCTGGCATTGAGAATGTTCATTAGAGGCGGTATCACTTAACATAAGGTGAGCCTCCTGTCCCTGCCCCCTGTTCTGTAAAAAAAAGTAATCTTAAATTTACTGGTAACAAAATACATAATCTTTTCTCATTATGTTTGTGTGTTAGTTTGGGGGCCTTATCGCTTTTAAGCGACTTTCAGGCAACCATTGTATGAAAAAATAATATGTCAAAGCGCATAACAATAAAGTGAATTTTCCTGATCGGAAATAATTGATTTTTTGTAAATTAAATTTTCACTTTTACTCATATTCATGATAATTGCATGATTCTATGGACTTAGAACATGTTGTTTTCGTTAATATTAGCCTCCGGTAAGCCTGAATTTATTAAAAAAAATCTAGTAACTGCAAAAATTGTATAACATCTTGTCTTATATATTTAATATTGTTTTGGGCTCGCGTAAATTTTACAAATAAAAAATCCAAGGGCGCTTCAACCTTTAAGGTCTGGGCCTCCGTTTCGTGATCATACGTTTATTCTATAGACAAGTAGGTGATCGGATTCCATCCCCGACACCTATATATTTTGGGCCAAAGGCATGCCGGTATCGGTTAGCAAGTGTTAAATGCGTGCATAGCCGGGTTTTTCACATCAGAAATAAGAGACGCACGCTGAAGCCACTTTCCCTACACTGCTCTTCCGAATTCAGAAATTAACGTATATAAAAACCTATGTGGTCCCGATGGTTAATTAGGGATTTTTGTCAAAGACCGGTGATTACATTTCATTTCATAAGTGATATCGTCACAAAACTAATACTAGTAGATAGAAACATAAAATATATTTTAAAACGTGTTTAGTAAATGTCAACATTTTGCTTGAAATTAAACATATAATTAATATTTTTACAGCTTTATTACTAAATCTTATCAACTGCTTCAGCATCGATGGTTTAACAGCTAAAGATATCAAAAACAATATAAATCTAATACAGACTAATGTTGTGAAAGCCCCACAAGAAACTTTAAGAAATGATCCAAGTAACAAAACAATTAAGGAAATATATCTTAATGTAAGAGATGCATCAAAGGTCCCATTGGCTGAAAGCCATAGAAATAGACCAAATGATGTTTTAAAGGTGATACTAGAAAGAAATAGAAATAGTTATAGTAAATATAAAGAACTTAAATCTCATCCAGACTTTTCGCATACAGCAGAAGCTCTAAAAGATATCAATTATGGATCAGAAACAGATTCACGGTTCAACAAACGTGATATTTTGGATATTGTGACACTACCAATACTTAAAGAAGTAGAAAAACGAAAGCTTAAAATATATCCACTTAATACAAAAAATGTGGATAATAAAGAAAGCCTGAAAGATATCAATCTTCAAGGTTCAAGAAAGAATTTTGATTTGATAGATTTTATAAAGTCTCGGAATGTACGAAATAAAGCTCATACAAAAAATCTAACGGAAATACCAGAGAAAATATTCAGGAATAAACTGGGTGGGTTTAATAATTTTGCATCGATACTGTTGTCTGGCAATGATTTTGATTTTTAATACACAAACTTGTTTATACAATTTTGATTAATTTCTTATTCTTGAAAAATACTGCATTGGCGATAAGACTGCTTTTTATGAGAGTGGCACTCACATTTTAATCATCTTCTCCTTCTTCGTAATGAAGGTTTTGCCCTTAGCGATACGTTGACTTGCTGCCTCCATCCCACTCTATCGTCAGCTTGTCTTAGTGCATTAGGGACGGTGAGTCCCATAATTATCTTTATTTGTACCAACGTATAGGTTATCGACTCCGACTTCTACTGCTCTCCACTAACTCCTGGCAATATGGCCAAGCACTCGTTTGTAAATGATAGTCGACAGTCTTGTGACGATTTTTAGTTAAGAATGGACTTATTACATATTTTAATATACTTAAATACTGTTGGATGTTTTTTACCTCGGCTGAAAGCTAACGCTGGTTCCATCTCTTTTCTATACAGATCTTCACGCCTACGATGGTGCAAACATAGTTACTGCATCGTTACATATAAAAAGAGGTGTTTCATTATTTTTTCTCTTTTTCAAGATTCTCAATTGTTTTCATCATTTATATAGTCACTTTCCGTCCGGCTTGATCCCTTGGCGTATCGTAGAGATGTGGGGTCTCTCTGCATCTTCTACCTCATTTACCATGGAGAGTGTTCAAAAAATTTTTTCATACAAATACCTGTAGCTGAGTTTCATTATCGGACGTCAAGGCAAAAGTATAAAATACCATCCTTATTACTTCGACTTCCGTCGCTCCACAACTCAGCGTTTCTTAAGGCAATATCTGCCTCGCACTACCACTATGTGGAACCAGCTGCCCACTAAAGTGTTTTGAGCCTTCTGTGAGTGTCCATAGGCGGCTGTATCATTTAACATCAGGTGAGCCACCTGCCCGTTTGCCTCCTATTACATAAAAAAATCGTAGTCGCGGTGGAGATTTATCAAATATAATTATTCATTTATTATACTTTTTGGAAACATATGGATTCATTGTCATCTATTTATTTTAACTTCCATGTAATCTTGCAGAGGATTTTCCTTACCTTAGGACTTTAGATAAAAAAACTATCCGCAGCCGCGGAATAACCTCGTAAAGACAGAGGGCCTATCTTGGCATGACTCTAAGGTTTCATTACTTTTATTTTATTAACACTGACACACTCAGCTACAGTCTCAACTACATGGGCACACACACCCATTCACACATTCACGCATACTTAATGTCGTATAAGACCTGTGTCTGACTAGTTGTAGTTGTTTGTTTTAAACATGTACCATGTACCACGGAATAATTGTTATCTAGTTACGCATAAGACAGAAATTCCCTATTGGTGGATGTTGTCACAACCTATTTGTCATGAATAAAGTTTTTATTATTATTTATTATTTTTATTTACTTTAAATTATCAATATTGCAGCGCATGAACGCCTGTATTGTACATAAACTATACTAAATAATCCAGAGGTGCTACATGGGCCTCAGAATTAATCCGCTTTTTTTAATCTTTTTTATGTCATAGACAAAAATATTGATTTGGGATACAGGATTTGAGATATTATGTCCTATGATTATAATCGTAAATTACAATATTTTTGAAGTTATACTTCATTAGGCGCGTTATGAAAAATTTATGAGAGTGAAATTTTACGATGCGCGCGCACCGTGACACAAAATTAACAGAATGAAGTTAGTGGCGCATGTTGGCACGGACGCCGCCTCTGTTCACTGTGTATTTATATTTATAATATTTATCCACATGCTTTGAGTTTCTACATTTAAAACACGAGTTTTCATTATACAAGTGCTAATTTTATATGTGCGTCTGAATTATAATCAGAAGTGATTTAAATTGAATAATTAAATCAATACTAATTTATATTAGAAAACAATAATAAATATAATATTATTAAATATTTATTTATTTAATTTTTCAAATGTAAACTGAACTTTATTGACTATAATGACTCCTTTCCAGTCTTTGATTAATTAATTGTAATTAATTATTTGCATGCAATCAAAAACTATTTTTAATAATGCCAAAGAAGTATAACTTCTTACGCGCCTACATAAGTACACGCATCCGTTTTTTTTAAAGCCCCTCTGTCAGTCACGTCGCTAGCCAGAATTAGAATAAAGTGTGGTGATATGTGTGAATGAGGCGATACATGCAACGCTACTACAAAAACTTCTATACTAAATGATAGAGTAACTGTACAGATACTAAAAGAAAATAGATTTCCAAAGTAATTTATTTAATGAATTATTATTTTTTTATTTCGAGATTATTTTTGGACGGAAATTTTAAGTCGGTAACATTTTTTACGGTATGTTTGGAGCTAGAAGATAAATCTCTGCGTGAGTTGTAACAAACTATTCAGTTTCATCAATTCCTCATCCATTCCATCTTTCGAAGAAAGGCGATTCCGAAAATACAATGTTATATAAATTTGTTTTTGCTTTTCTCTTTTTCCGCGTGGCTTTTTTTGACGTAGTATATCGTATCTGGTTTTGTCAGTGATGGCTTTTCGTTCGTATCCTTTTTGTTTACCCATTACATTATGTTGACTTGTGCGTAATTCATTATTTTGGCATCGTTTGTCATGTTTCTTATTTTTAATGTCTGATTCGATTTTACGCAACGCTGTCTTGTCAACATCGTAGTCTGGATAGGGGTTGTTAGATGTTCTCAATTCTTTTGCAACACTATACGAGTCTATACCAAGTACATGTTTAAGAATTTCATTTCGAAGGCTCTCTTTGGATATTTCTTTGTCAAATAGAACGGGATTTGTTTCGGATTCACGTGAAATTTCTAGAGTTTCTGCTTTTATAAATACTGAAAAAATTATTAAGTTAAACTTTATAATAATAACTGTAGATAGTGAAATATTGATCTTGAAGATTGAATAGAAAACAACGGAAATTACTTAATTGTTTCGTTTAAAGAATTCGCGGGTAAAATGATTAAAAATGAAAATTGTTTTGTAAAGAAACCAACAGATAACAAAAACTGAAAAAAAAATACAAATTTATAATGAAATTCTATCTTACCTAGTAGGCAAAGCAAGAAATACATGTTTGTGCTGATCCAGCAACGGATGTGATATTTATGAACACGAGTTTAATTGATTTTAACACTTAATTAACAGGTATATTGGTGTGAAATAATTCAAATTAGTATTGAATGTTACGATTACACTGGGAATTGATTAGTGTGATCCATGTGATTAGAAAGGAAAACCAATTCATATATTTTTTTTTTCATAGTTAATATATTTATGTAGTTAGGCACATTTACTTATTTATATGTAATTATAAGCGAACGATGTCTCGATCTGAAGCACCGCCACTATTCTCGAAATAAAACTCGAAGTGGAGTTATAAATGTTCCGTTTATTGGTCGAACGTTAGTGATGGTGACACAAAATAATACAGCGAAGCGAGCTTATAACTAACGTCCATCCGGCATGGCTGCGTAAATCTATCTGGTGGTTATACAAATATTAACTTAAAACTAAACCTAAACTACGACGCTGGTAAAAGGGACCGACCGACCCTTCCGCTACCTGCGCACCCGCCGACTGTTTCCAAGAACAACATCTGGCTGGCAGATTCGTTCGTCAGCTTTCTAAATTGCATTGTTCGTTGTCCGTAACAGTCTCCCCTCAGCGAAACCTTCCAATGACTGGAAGCTTTCCGTAGGTAGGACAACGATTCGCATCACCGGTCGCCTCAGCTTATGAAGTTTCGATTCCACTTCTACTGATCGGGATTCTCCACCAGGCCCTCTATGCGTTTTTGTAATAATTCCCCGCGGCCACACATTGCGCGGCCGCAAGGGATCCATAATGATGACCACATCGCCGATCTTTACAGGGCTTTTCATTCTGGGCGTGTGTCTCCTGGCGTTTAAAGTAGGAAGATATTCCTTAACCCATCTTCGCCAAAATTCATCGGCTAATGCTTGCGCCGTCTTCCACGTTCTTTTGGTAACGTGCTTCAGCGCAACTATCTCAATATGTACAGCTCTTATACTTAGGCACGTAAAAGTCGCATCCCATGGCTTTTCATTACGGCGTCCTTTTGTAAGCGTATGACGCCCATCCAATAGAATGGGATTCCATGTCACCTCTGTTATCTGTGATTTTAACCGCCCACGTACACGAAGTAACCGATCGCTTACGCTTAATCGGCCATTGTGATCTTTAAGCTTGCGTATAAATAGTTGTACGTAAGCTGTGGCTCTTTTCAGCCGTTTACACTGCGAGAATATTTCTATATGTGGTGGATCGTTTCTGTTGGTCTTCCATTCGATTACGGTCAAAGTCAGCACTTGTGGCTCGCAGCTTTCTTTTGGCCATGTTTCTTCAGGCCCGTAAAGAAACACTGGGCCCACAAACCACCGGTCATAGTTGGTTTTATGGGCCAACGTTATCCTTGTAGCATGATCCGCTACATTTTCCTTGGTTGGAACCCAAAGCCTTAGCATCCGTCGTTACGTTTATTTCAGTTAATCTATGTGCTACGGATAGTGGATGCCTCGTTTTGTCATTTCTTATCCACAGTAATACCGTCGTTGAATCTGCCATAGCAGGATCTTGATTGGTTCAATTATGTCGCCTTCTCTAATGGCCACAGCTAATCTTTCTCCGATACGGGCTGCCTGTAGCTTAAGCCGCGGTACACTCTGTGACTTAATAGGTGCCACCCATGCTTTCGCTGTGATGAGTCTGACGTCAATTACATCGGTTCTAATTCGCCAATATGCCACGCTCGCATGTGCTTGTTCAGATGCGTCACAGAACACATGCAATTTTCACATGAAAATCTTAAGTAATAGGTAAATAATAATAAAAAAAAGTGTGTGTGTCAGCTACGACGCACAATTGGAGTTTACTCCTTACGAACGATAAATATTGATGATAGATTATTGAATTTTAGTTGTTTAAATGTTTGTATAATACATTGCAGCAAATGCGCCTAAATATAAACTCAAGATTCCATACAGGAACATATTTTTGCAATAATAAAAGGGCGGCTGATTGTGAAGAATTTAGAACGCTGGTTTTATTTAATGGAATGTTAGTAGAAAACTATTCATATGCTACTTCGAGGTCGGAACTAAATACTTTGTCGTTTATGTTCACCTTATATTCAGTATCCGTTCTGGAGGTTCTTCCAGTCGTCTTGTTTTGTTACGTCGTTGTCATGATATACTATCGTCCGTTAACCGACTTTACAGACAACCATTTTTCTTTTTAAATATATTTTCTAGCCAATTCCCCGACTATGTTGTCGTCTGATTAAATAAATAATAGCATTGGAACGAGGATGATTAAGAAATATCTACTTCTATTAACAACGTTTTATATAACATTTACAGAAAATTCTAGAAAGATGCCTTTTCACCTATTGTTGTTCATTATTTCTTGTACGTCGAGTTTTGGATTTGGGACATGTCCTATGATTGTAATCGTAAATTACAATATTTTTTAAGCCCCTCTGCCTGACACGACTCTAGACGGAGTTGGCATATAGTGTGATGATACGTGTGAATGAGGCGATACATGCATCGCTACTACAAAAACAGCTATAATAAATGATAGAGTAACTGTACAGGTACGAAAATAGATTTCCCTAAGAAATTTATTTAATGAATTAAATACAATTTTTTTATTTCGAGATTATATTTGGACGGAAATTTTAAGTCGGTAACATTTTTTACGGTATGTTTGGAGCTAGAAGATAAATTTCTGGGTGAGTTGTAATAAACTATTGAGTTTCATGAAGTCCTCTTCTGAACTATGTGGAGGCCGGAACCAGGGTTTAGGTCTACCTGGTCGGGGTCGGTAACCGGGCTTTTTCTTTTTGAGTCTTGCAGGCGTTTTTTGACGTAATATATCATGTCTCGTTTTGTCAGTGATGGCTTTTCGTTCGTATCCTTTTTGTTTACCCATTACATTAGTGTGTTGGCTTGTGCGTAATTCATTATTTTGGCATCGTTTGTCATGATTCTTATTTTTAAAGTCTGATTCGATTTTACGCAACACTGTCTTGTCAACATCATTGTCTGGATAGGGGTTGTTAGATGTTCTCAATTCTTTTGCAACACTATACGAGTCTATACCAAGTACATGTTTAAGAATTTCATTTCGAAGACTCTCTTTGGATATTTCTCTGTCAAATAGAACGGGATTTATTTCGGATTCACGTAAAATTTCTAGAGTTTCTGCTTTTATAAATACTGAAAAAATTATTATGTTAAACTTTATAATAATAACTGTAGATAATGAAATATTGATCTTGAAGATTGAATAGCAAACGACGGAAATGACTTAAGTGTATCGTTTTAAGGATTCGCGGGTAATAGGATTAAAAATGAAATTGATTTGTAAAGAAACGAACAAACAACAAATACTGAAAAAAAAATACAAATTAATAATGAAATTCTATCTTACCTAGTAGGCAAAGCAAGAAATACATGTTTGTGCTGATCCAACAACGGATGTGATATTTATGAACACGAGTTTAATTGATTTTAACACTTAATTAACAGGTTTATTGGTGTGAAATTAATCAAATTGATATTGAATGTTACGATTACACAGGGAATTGATAAGTGTGATCCATGTGATTAGAAAGGAAAACCAATTCATATAATATGTTGTAGTTGTAGTTAAGCACCATTTACTTATTTATAAGTAATCTTACAGCTAATATCCATATTATAAAACAAAACACTTAGACAACGAACCCAAAACAGATTATATTGATAAACAAAATTTACGAAACTGTTGACATACGTTAGGTTCATTAATAGACAATGAAAAGCTGTAATTTACTAAATTTTGCAAAAAAAAAAAATATTACTGCCTAACAAAGTCGAAGTCTCGTCCTCTTTGGTAAGGTTGTAAATATCAACATCCTCATAATTAGTTTCATAGTTAGCTAAAATCCGAAACATAGGGCGAATTATGCAGCTAATTCGTGTTTTTAAGGCACATGGAACAACTGTGAATATCTTGTCGCATACGGTGGAACCACATTTTAACTTATTGTTACAATATGAAAGTATGAAAAATGATGTTCAGACTAATCTGCATAAAACATGGCTTTGAAAGGCGTTATAAAGTAAAATTATAAATACATAGATTATTTATCAAAAAATGTCGAACCACAGTTGAACTATTTAATTCTGTAATATTCCGATCATCTTCAGCCTCATTATGTTTTTTATAATCACTTTCAAAAACGGTGATGTTTGAGGTTGTATGCTCACTGTCAACAGTAAATATCTAACGCACACTAAATACTGAGTAGAGAAAGGGATGCTAGACAGACTGGCGCCGTAACGTGTTACGTAACGAAGCGGTTTACCCTCCCAAAAGAAGTTATCACTTCAAAAAATCCAATATCATGAATATTGATTTTTATACGTTAGTCACGTGATTCAAAACGGTTATTAATAATATGATCTACAAACATGTCTCGCCTGTCTGAATCATAATAATCATGATAATTTTATGTATTTTACTTATATCTTGGCGTCTCCTGTGAGACTCGGACCTCGGCTTGGGCCGTCGCGGGGTGGTCAATCGCCTGAAGGGCAGGACGGAAGCTCACTGGAGTGAGCGAAGTACGAAGTAAAGGTCCTCGCCTTCCCCGGTGATAGCGGTTTTTTCCCCCAGGGAGAACCGCGGCCTCCGACGCGCTACTTCGAGGCACGCTCCCGCCGCCCCGGCCGGCCGGTCCCGCAATTTATAAGTCTGTAATATCTTCTAAAATATTCATTTAAATCATATGCTGTAAGGGGCTATATAGATCTATATTAAATCAACAATGTATTTCAGGTATTTAATTGGATAAGGATTAATGCTGTACTGGTTAAAATCGCTTCGAAAATTAGCCATTATTTGTCGTAGAAAGTAAATGATAAAATAATATTATTGTGGGATATCCATGAGAGACAGACATATACCATCGCGGAGTTCTCTGTAGACCTTTTCAATGTGTACAATACTTAGTACATTATTTTGATAAATCTCGTAGGGTTCGCAATGTAAGCGGTAAAAATGTAATTATTTACGATTTACGACATCACATTAGAAACCTCAAAAATAACAGTATTTCTCCATCCATATTTAATGGATGTTACTATACATCTATTAAAAAAACCGCATCGCTATCCGTTGCGTAGTTTTAAAAATTTAAGCATACATAGGGACAGAGAAAGCGACTTTGTTCTATAATAATAATAAAATAATTTAAGCCTTTTATTCACTGACCTTTTTAACTTACATGCTATTCTTATTTAACAGTAGCATTCTTAAATCTAATTTACATAGCGAAAATAATAATTTATTAGCAACCACTTTGGTCAGGTTGTCTGTCGACATAGGCCTCCCCCAATAGTTTCCACTGCATCTCTCTATCATTGGCAGCCGGAGTTAGAATATAGTGTGATGATATGTGTGAATGAGGCGATACATGCAACGCTACTACAAAAACAGCTATAATAAATGATAGAGTAACTGTACAGGTACCAAAACAAATTAGATTTACCAAAGGAATTTATTTAATACATTAAATAAAAAAAAATTATTTCGAGAATATATTTGAACGGAAATTTAAAAAATGTTAAAAATAAAAATGTTACTGACTCTAAAGTCATTTTACGGTATGTTTGGAGCTAGAAGATAAATTTCTGGGTGAGTTGTAATAAACTATTCAGTTTCATAAAGTCCTCTTCTGAACTATGGTAAGGCGGATGATGGGATGGGATAAGTCGGGGTCGGAATCTACTTTGCTTTTTATTTTTGAGTCTTGCAGGCCTTTTTTGACGTAATATATCATATCTCGTATCTTTGTCAGTGATGGCTTTTCGTTCGTATCCTTTGTTTACCCATTACATTAGTGTGTTGACTTGTGCGTAATTCATTATTTTGGCATCGTTTGTCATGTTTCCTATTTTTAATGTCTGATTCGATTTTACGCAACACTGTCTTGTCAACATCATAATCTGGATAGGGGTTGTCAGATGTTCTCAATTCTTTTGCAACACTATACGAGTCTATACCAAGTATATGTTTAAGAATTTCATTTCGAAGGCTCTCTTTGGATAATTCTTTGACAAACAGAACGGGAGTTTTTTGAGTTTCTGCTTTTATAAATACTGAAAAAATCATTAAGTTAAACTTAGTAGTAATAACTATAGATAATGAAATACTGATCTGGACGACTGAAGAGAAAACAACGGAAATGACTTAAGTTTATCGTTTAAAGGATTCGCGGGTAATAGGATTAAAAATGTAATTTTTTTTGTTAAGAAACCACAGATCAACCAACATGTAACAAAAGCTGAAAAAAAATACAACTTATTAATGAAATTTTATCTTACCTAGTAGGCAAAGCAAAAAATACATGTTTGTGCTGATGTAACAACGGGTGTGATATTTATCAACACGTTTAATTGATTTTAACACTTAATTGACATTGGTGTGAAATTAATCAAATTAATAATGAATGTTACGATTACACAGGAAATTTAATCCATGTGATTAGAAAAGAAACCAATTCATATAATTTTTTTAAAGTTAATATATTTTTGTAGCTAAGTACCGTTTACTTATTTATAAGTAATCTTACAGCTAACATCCATATTATAAAACAAAACACTTGTATATTACAAAGCCATAACAGATTATATTGATAAACAAAATATATACGAAACTGAAGAAATACGTTAGGTACATTAATAGACAAAGAAAAGCTGAAATTTACTAAACTTTGCAAAAAAAAATATTATATATTATATATAAATATATAAATATAACACTGGCGCATTTTGCAGCTAATTTGTGTTTTACAAGGCACATGGAATATATAATATCTTGTCGCATACGGTGGAAGCAAATTTAAACTTATTGTTACAATATGAAAGTATGAAAAGTGATATTCAGACTAATCTGCATAAAACATGGCTTTGAAAGGCGTTAGAGTAAAATGATAAATACATAGATTATTTATCAAAAAATGTTGAACCACAGTTGAACCATTTAATTCTGTCAACGGTCAACAATTAATCTCTAACGCACACTAAACACTGAGGAAAGAGAGGGATGCTAGACAGACTGGCGCCGTAACGCGTTACGTAACGAAGCGGTTACCCTCCCATAAGAAGTTATCACTTCAAAAAGTCCATTATCATGAATATTGATTTTTATACGTTAGTCACGTGATCCAAAACGGTTATTAATAATAATATGATCTACAAACATGTCTCGAGGTGTCTCAAGCCTCTGAGCAGGTGTCCTGTCCATCTCCATTTAAGCCTTTTGGCTCTGATCATTGCGTCTTCCCCGTTGGTGATCCTTCGGAGATCTGCAGCTATTTGCCTATCATTCCGTGGGATAAGTTCTATAGGCACCAATAAATCTGGAGTGCTTTTATAATCTTGTAAAATAGCTTCGTTACCAACTGACAACCTTAAATTGATTTTTTACTCATCATCATAAATATAAAATATGATATGTATAATAAGTCATCCTAAAGCCCATTTGGATATATGGCCTCCATCTATGGGGCAGCGCAAGTGATACCAACTAGGTGATCAGCCTCCTGTGCCCGACTCGCCGTCCACTTTTGAGCCTAAGGCAAGCCGGTTTCCTCACGATGCTTTCCTTCACCGTTCGAGCGAATGTTAAATGCGCACATAGAAAAAAAGTGCATTGGTGCACAGCCGGGGATCGAATTCTCAGGGATGAGAGTTGCACGCTGAAGCCACTAGGCCAATACTGCTCTTAGTTGTCCAGTTATTGGATAATAAAATACCATATATAAATAGGCCAAAGCCCTAACATGATTGTGGTTCCTTTCATTTCAATATGTGCTAATTTTGCAAGAATAACCCATAACAAATTATTTTAAACATTTCCCCACTTAACACATTAACATCGTTGGTTGATTGAGATCAAATCGATTTTTCCGCATTTTTATCGTATACATTAACAGAAATGCTGCCCGTTTTATTGCTTGGTGAGGTTTTTTTCGTAAATATTTACAAAATATGTCATTTTCTTCAACTCAAAGGATATTAATAATTTTAAGGCTTTTTGAACACTTTACGGAACTAACGCCACTCTATCATCGATTCTCTGGTTAGGTAGCAACTTCCGCTGAGCGCAGATAAAGAAAGACTAGGAATACTAAAAGTAATCGCACTTAAATAAACAATAAATAAATCAGTGGCGCTACAACATTTTAGGTCTGAGCTTGAGATTTTTGTATATGTTTCATGATTAGTCAATCTAATAGGCAAGTAGTTGATCAGTCTCCTGTGCCTGATACACGCCGTCGATTTTTTGGGTCTAACGCTAAGTTTTAAAACATGCATGTACCACGACATAAACCCAAAACACAGGCTCTTTAGTGTCGCGTTGGCTGAATTGTATCACCATATTTCTGTCATAAATGAAGTTTTATTAGTAGAGGAACTTAAATATTGACATACATAGTAAATACTTTCTGTTCTAAAGAACGCTTCACTAACAAAATGTCAGTGAAGCTAAATCTAAAAATAATCTTATAAATGTTTCAGTATTAGTAGTAAAATGTCAACAAATAAAAAGCTCAAATGAAGGTGTAAAAGATGTGCCATGGAAAGGAATAACACCAGGATATCAGGAACGATACAAAGATTCTGAACGAAGAAATATTGATGACGTGGTACTTGTTAGACCAGATATATTACGACTTAACACTGAAGATAAATATAAAGAGAATACTAAAAATGTTGATGATAAAGAGAAAAGTTTTATTTCCTCAGTAGATAATAATAAAGATGGACATAAGAATCTTGATAATAGAAAGAGCTTTAATGAAGCAAATAGATTTTTGAATTCAAACTATCCGGTCGCAATAAATGTGTTTCCGTTTTCTGATCCTCAAAAAGGATTTAAATCGGTAGATCAATCTAAACTCAAGGGATTCAGACCTCCAAGAACAAAACGTACCAAACGTCCAAAGCCAATTACCAAAAGGAGAAAACCAAAAACAACGACGGAGAAGACATATGGTAAAAATATTTTCTTTAGTAACATAAATTAAGTACAACCAGCTGCCCCCGCGAACTTCGTTTCGCCTTAATTTGATTATATTAACACAGTTGTTATTTACATAATACCTTTTTAGTAACCAGCTACGTATGGAACTTTTTTCTAGGCTATCTCCTACAGTTTTTTCGCTTTTCCAGAATGAAAACGCTTTTATTTTTATCCGTGTAATTTTACCATTTTTTTCTCTAAATATTTCCCGGAATTCAACTAATTAAACAGTTCTTCTGTATCTTATATAGTAATAAATACGTGTATTGAATTGTAGTCTACGTGTGTGTGTGAATGTGTAATGTTATATTATAAAAAATAAATCAGCGGCGCTACAACCTTTTTAAGTCTTGGCCTCAGATTTCTGAATCTGTTTCATGATCATTTTTAAATCTAATAGGCAAGTAGGTGATCAGCCTTCAGTGCCTGACACACGATGTCGACTTTTTGGGTGTAAGACATGTCGGTTTCCTCACGATTTTCTCCTTCACCGTTCTAGCAAATGTTAAATACGCACATAGAAATAATGTCCATTGGTGCATAGCTGGGGATCGAACCTACGACCTCAGGTATGAGAGAATACCAGCCATTAAAACCTTCAATATAATGAATTCCTTTAAAACCAAACACTTTGTCTCTCTCTGCTTAGTTAAAACGAATTTGATTACATAGACTTCAAAACTACATAAATGATTAGAAACATTCTTTCACTATTGGAACCCTAGCTTATCCCTGATGAACATAGGCTATAGATTATAAAAAAAAGGCAGTTGTGTGAATTTACGATACAGTACAGGTGTGAAATAGACCATTAAAGATTCCTATATGCTACGAAAACTATTGTCAATAGAGAAATGTGCAACAGTTTTATAGAAGACATCAATATAATCATGTCTAACAAAATGCTCTTAATTGAAAATTCTATTTACCGAAAGCTTAAGGCTATAGAACATCGTGCATATGGAGTTAATGGTGGAGCCGCTGAGTTTTGTAATTTTTTAATGTTTTTGACTTTTATTAGTATACGTAACGGTGTCTATCGATGCTGAATTTAATCCCGGTAATAAACCACCTCCCAGTTTTGAAGATGATGATGATGATGATGATGAAGAAGTTCTATTGGTTAAGAGGTTATCGGATCCTGGGGTGTTTAATATTTTTAACTTTAAATAAATCATGATTTTACCAAACATCTTATTTTTGTTTACGTTATAAAAACTTGTTTACCTCCTATCGATATAGTTTTCATCTCTCATCTCATACGCCTTTGTATAAACTATACAAGGAAAGCATACAATACAATGAAGCTACCATGGTATTGTAGGCATATTTCAAACTCAAACTCAATTTGACACGTTATAATTTATTACAATAAGGACCTTGGTTAGGCTCAGAAATGTTGTGAGAGGACATGCTGTACTATGTTGTTAATTTTATTTAGTTAGTTAATTCTATTCTTATACATTTTTATTCTTATAAGATACATTATTTTTGACGTGACAACGTCTTATAAATCGATGGAGCCGGCTGCATGCACGAAAAAACATGACTCATGCGGCGTTACCTCGCTCTGAGGCGTTCCATTTAAGGCTTGAAGTGCAAGCGAGAGCGCGAAGCGACAGAGAGGCACAATCGGACTCCGCGCTCTTCGGCGTTCGACATCTGTCTCTCTCCTACTTGAGTGAGCGATTCGTGACGTTGTCACGTTCAACTATCGTCAGTAAACCGACTTTACAGACAACCAATTTTTTTGGTATATTTGCTTTGGCTTCACGTTGCAAAAAGATATTTAACATTATTAATAAACTTAACCGGTGGACCCCTTGGACCGGTGATGATTTATTTAGACTACGTTGCGTTTTGTCTGTGATTTCAAAACAAAACGCAATTCCATAAACCCACTTTGATTACTTGAACAGCTCCTTTATGTGGCGCTACAACCTTTTAAGGTCTGGGCCTTAGGTCATTTGCTTCCGTCCATGGTATACATGGTATCATCACTGAGCGCGTGCTAAATGCCAACATATAAAGTCAATTGGTGCACAGCCGGGGATCGAACATACGTCCTCAAACATCCTTGGTCGTTTCTGTGCATTTAACGTCACTTTTCTATATTAGAATTTCGTTTTGGTCGTTGTTGTGTTTTTAATCGATTTCTCAAATCAATTACCACTTTGAATCATTATTTTTAAGGCTGTTATAGCAGTAGTGCGATGATAAAAAGGAACTAACATGAATATTATTTTGTTATTTGGTAAGTTTTAAAGTGTTCAAATTCGAATAACGTTGATAGTATTTATAAAAGAAAAATTTATTTTAGTAGCCATGTTCATACCTATACAAACGCTTAATTTACTATCAAATATAATATCCGAAGAAATAGATTATGTCCGACCACACGAAGTTGCAGCGAGGGACAAATTTACAAAAATATTTGGTAATCACCTTTTAAAAGGAAAGAGAAACAAAACTAAAAAACCAAAGATGAAAAAGAAAGAGAGGGAGAAACCAAAATCTAAAGGAAACAGATTTGAAATTAGAATAGGTGACACACAGATTAATATCTCCCAGGGATCCATTGTTAAAGTTGAAACGCGGAACGAGACGTCTACGACATATAATGTGTACAAGCAGCAGGATTGTAAAAATTGTGGAAAGCCATTCCAAAATTGGCCTTTTGACAGACCGTTTCCGTGGAATTGATGTTTTGAAATGAATAAGAACAGTCAATCAATGTCGGGGTTAGATTAGCTGAACTTATTGTAATAAATGAATCATTGGCGTTACAAATTCTTTAGGTCTGGGCTTTCTGTATCTGTTTCATGATTTGTCAATCTAATAGGCAAGTAGTTGATCAGCCTCCTGTGCTTGACATGGGCCGTCGTGTTGGGGCTAAGGCAACCCGGTTTCCTCACGATCTTTTCCTTCATACGAACTCAAAGATGAGAGTCGCGCACTGAAGCCATTAGGCCAACATTGCACTTAATTGAAAATAATAGAGTACTAAATAAATATAAAGTTACAATTGCAATACTTATTTATGTTTTATAGAACAGGGTCAAATGGGCATAATATGTTAAGTGATACCGCCGCCCATGGACACTCTCAATGCTAGAGGGCTCGCGAGTGCGTCGGCGACGAACTCTTTCAAGGGCCCAAAATTAGTTTTTTTTTCTAATATTATAAAGAGGAAAAATTTGTATGTAAGTATGTTTGTAACGAATTGGCTCAAAAAGGACCTATTTTACTGGACCTATTTAAAAATACTTTCACCATTTGAATGTTACATTATCACTGATTAATATAGTCTATTTTAAATGCGAGACAAAAAATAAGGATCCATACTAAAACTACAATAATATTACCCAAGGTGTAAAAATAATGCCTATAAAATATCTTTCATCGCATGCGCTGCGAAAACTATTGATGATAGAACAAAAATATGTTCCACAATATTGAAGAACATATCAATATCTGCAATTTTTTTTAAACATGTCCACCCGAGCGAAGCCGGGACGGGCCTCTAGTTTTAATATATTTTAAATGATTGTTTTTGTTAATTAAAATTAAATTTGTTATAAAGTATATTCCGCGGGTAATAAAGCCGCTATAAAAGTAACTAATAGGAAGAAGTCTGGAAGGAGGAATTCTGGATTGGGAGATTCAATTAGGGTGTCGGTCAGATTAAGCTGAATTACGAGCCAAGGCGGGCCCCGTTCACAAAGACGTTGCTATTGAATGCTGTCTCCGACACTATATCTTTATATGTTCGCAGAGTAAAGTCACAGTAGGGAGATTGTCTATATGTTGAATATTATATATTTAATTTATTCTCGAATTTATCGTAATGTCATGTCATAGTAATGTTCATAGCAATTACCATTTAATTATTTTGTATATTCTATTTTTGTTTGCGAAGCATATATACAGTAAAAATAAAATCCTATATTATAAAGCACTCCGATGACTCAGGAACCACTTACAAATAATTTATTTAATTGATTTATAGAGCTTTAAGAGTATTTCAGAAGACTTTTTGTCCAAATCGAGATTATGATTAATTTCTCTAGTGTCACCCATTTCATTAAACAGTAAACTGTATGCCATCAAAAACATCTTGTAAAAAAGTCTCTCTATTCAGTTTCTCGTAAAAAGTTGTAAGATAATTAGTCCCTACTTGAGGGATCTTCTGTCTTAAGTTATTATTTAATTAGCTAACCTATTACCTTATCATATCAATAATTAACACTAATTGTATGAAGCTTCTATGTCTGCTCAAAGTGCCTTAGTTTTGATGATAGGTTAGTGAGTGAGTGACAAAATTAGAAACTTTGACTCTTAAACTACTGGTTAAAATTGAGTGAAATTGCGAATTTATATAATGCCTCCTTAGTCATTGACAATTCAGGCGTCTAATTTCATACACAACGAAGCTATAGGGGGTCGAATATAGCCTGAACTGTTTTAAGAAAAGGATGGCTGTGTGGCATTTTCTGGCTTTATAGTTATTTGAGAGCAGGATTTTAAAAGGAATTAAGTTAAAGAAAATGACATATGTTTTTAGTGTGTTTATTTACAATTTGGCAGTGATGGCGCACTTATTTACAGAGTTACGTTTGAGACCTTTGTTGAGCAAATCCGGAAAAATTTGAAAAAACCATTAAAGCTTTGGATGCGTAATGCTACCATTGAAACGCCAACAGCATTACGTAATAACGTTAGCTTGAACACGGTAATGTAAAAACGCTCGCATTAAAACGGTAATGTTAAAACGCTAGCATCAAAATGGTAATACGATTACGCTAGCATCGGATCGGTGATTACCAGGCGTGGAGGCCAAGACCGTACGCGCCGTAGGCGGTGTATGGGGCAGCGATTCCGTAGGGGGAAACTCCGTAAGCGCCAACAATTGGGGCACCGGCATAGGCAGCGCGAACACCAGCGGCAGCGCCGTCAATGGCGGCAACCTGGGATTGAGCGGCGGCGACGTAGTTCTGGGAAGCGGCAACATTGCCCCAGTAGACGTTCTCGTGGAGGTTGCGGTTGGTTTCGGCGACCTGGCGGACGGCTTCGGTGTTGTGCTGGACGACGGCTTCAGCTGCTCTGGCCTGTCCTTCGCCGATGGCGCGGACGGTGTCCTGAGCGGCCACGGTGGCGTCGATGGCTGCGGCCTGGACGTCACCGGCGTTGGCGCCGTAGACCAATGGAGCTAGGATGGCGCTAGCTGAGGCATAGCCGATGAGGGCGACGAAAGCGATCTGGAATTGAAATGGTTGCGTGAGAAATGATAAATAATTTAGAAGAGAAGAATAAAATTATATACATTTAGGGAGGAGATACAATTGAAGCCCTTGTAACTTCTTCAAGTTATTATTTAGGGCCGCTATGATTTTTGGGTCAAACAGTTATAAAAAAGGACGAGAGGTTACAAAACATTGTATAATGCTTTCAAGGGGAAGGGCTTAGATTTTTAAAGGCTTTAATGAGGGATAAGTTTTATAATACATTTGGTTGCTAGTTTGATATGGCTAATTGTGTTGATTTTTCAATTTATCCATCATAAAATGCAAAAACTATTACAATGAAAACTGCTATCTGAAGTCTTTTGAAGAATTCGTTGTTCTATTCGAATTATGTCCAGTACGCAAGTTTTCCATTCAAAATAATTAGGTAGTATTGTTCGGGATGACGACAAGTATTTGTAGTATTGTGATATTTCTTTGTGCCGCATGACAAGGTAAATCATTTATACACTAAAGTATTGAAGGTCGAATACACACACACACAAGAATGTTACAATTGACTGGCAATGGTTCACACGGCTTTTATAAAATACTAGCTGTGCTCTGCGGATCCATCCGCAATTCTTTAGCACTATGAGAACATAGGCTATAGAAATAGCCTCTTAAATGCAAGGCGTTTTATGTAGATATTGATGTCTTCTATAATGTACATTGCTCTATTGTCAATAGTTTCCGCAGCATATAGAAGTATTCATTGGTCTTCATACCTTAACACTATCGTATTTATATATAGCGTAGGCCACGGTTATCCAGGATTTAGGGTTCTGACGGTGAAAGAATTTTATCAATTCGCGCCAGTTTTGGGGCCTATTCAATGCAAACAATCAAATCTTTTCTCTTTATAAATACTAGTATAGATCATCGTTTCTCAAGCGGGGGTTCGAGTTTGTTTAAAAATAATAAATACAAACTACAAAAGATTCATTAAAAATAGCGCCTATGTACAAATTATTATAATTCGACAGTAACGGGTTCGCAAGACTGTTTTATTTAACTTTTTGGCTTAGTCGTGTGTTGAATTTAGCGAACTCAAAGTCAAAAATCATCTATTCATGTAGGTAACACAATGTACACTTATGAACGTCAAAAGGCACATGCATTGCTTAGGATGTACTTAGCACGTTAACTCTAATGTTCGTGGTTTTTCTCGTATAAAGAAAAACAAAGCGTGGAAACCGGACATTAAGGCGTAACTTAACGTATGGTTATTCACCGACATAAATGTTTACAATCGGGTTTTAATTGATTTTCCAAGGAAAATTTGTATTTTCACAAAATTTGTGTAAATTCCTGAATCGTTAACGAGAAATCGACTAAAATTATTTGAAGGATTTGAAAATCGGAACGAATTTTAATTATATTATTTACTTTGTTGGGAATCTAATGGATTTTGTCCTGTGTTTTAAGACCATCAGACACCAAGGTAAAAACCCCTTAAATTTTTGGTTTAAAAAAATCAGTGGCGCTACAACCTTTTTTGGTCTAGGCCTCACATTAGTCCGCCTCTTGTGCCTGACACACGCCTAAGAGTATAAGGCAAGCCGGTTTAATCACGATGTTTTCCTTCGTACGAGTGAATGTTAATTGCGCATTAAAAGACGTAGTTTCAACACTATTTTAACACGTTTTAAATTTTAATCAAAAAGGGATATTTTAAAGACAGTTATGATAACAACTGATAAGGTGGTCTTACCAGGAATCTCATGTTGCACTTCTGTTGACTGCTACTGAGCTACTGAATGCAAACAGAATGCCTACACGGCCTTTTATACGCGAAGGAAAGTTGCTGAGTTCGGAAGTTTGCGGAAATCAAGTTTAAAGGCTCTATTTACAAGTTTTAAAAAGGGCAGGGTTTTTTGATATATATGGAGCGGACGTAAAAAATATGTTTTTAATCAATGTGTGATTAATGTACCTATCGTATTTATTTAAGTTTGGTAACGGCAAGCAGTTTAGATGTTCGATTTTTAAATTTTAAATTGGCAGTGTAGTATTGGATTTTTTTTGGAATATTTATTTTTATTTGAATAAGTATAGCGGGTGTGGAGAGGATGTTCTTATTTATTTTTATAAGATTAGATTTTTAAATTTTAAGGTTTTAAATATATAGAGCGAGAAAACGAAAAAATGTTCTGTTTAAATTTAAATAATTTAATTTGTACAGCGGGCGTCGGGTAGTTTTTTTGCTATATTTAACTAAAGATTCGTTTTTTTAAATTTTGATGGCAAGTGACAGTAAATAGATAGTAGTAAAGAGGTATAACAAGAATATTGTTTGTCATAGAGTTTTCTCTATCTGTCATAGATATGAATAAGAAACGTTTACAAAACTGCGCTTTGAACGCTAGCTGGTACATCCAACGGACTTAGTATTATATTACCGCTCATAGGTGCAGTGTATAGGACAAAATTAGTCTAAGATCCAAATTTTAAAATATTTTCTTATTGCGTCGAACCAGCCCCTATGACATACCATACATTCTTATTTTGTACAATAACAGATTTTTAATAAAGTTATTTTACTCTATAGCGCCTTGTAAAGCTTATATAAACATTAGACTTAGTAAAACCTTTTTTGTCAAATATATTCAGTAAATCAAGCACAGTACACATCGCAGATTTTAGTTTCATTTTTAAATTTTAGTATAAAGTTTCATAAAATTAAATGATCTATGGACTGTTGAAAGGTGAATACAGGAATTGGGCGTGGCTTTTAGTTAATTTTTAAATTGGTTAAAAAAAATTTAAGTATAAAGAGTTTCTATTTACAAATGACCTTGCTTTTATTTTAGAATGCAATATATTTAATTTAAAAATATAATTTCGTGTAGAATTATACAAACCACTATTTAACTAATCGTTTTAAATAAAGTTTATAAGTACGTGTTTTAAATACACTCTATTACACAATAATTATGCTAGTATAATAAGGATATGTAGATATCATTAAAACATATTAAGTTTTATACACTACAGAAAATAATAATAGAAAGTTTAACACTTCGAAGTTGCGGCACTAGGTGGCGCGGCGGCGCTTGTATTTTAACTCTCATGAAAAAACTCTCCACATCTTAAGTGATACCGCCCATGGACACTCTCAATGCCAGACGGCTCACGACTGCTTTATTTTTTAAGAATCGGCACGCTCTTTTCTTGAAGAACCCTAGACCAAAAACCAAGTCTTGCTTCTCAGCATAAAATTTGTGAGATCCATGTCCATTCATTCTCCACAGGGACCTTCTGTCTTTTATAACGTAATTAGCTTACTTAACATCTGATAGTGTCCATATCAATATTAAATACTATATAATTCTATTCTTGAAGCTCTTGTGTCTGCTAGAAGTGTTGTTTCTTCTAACTTTATCCACAACGAAGTAATAAGGTGGAAAATGTCCTGAACTGCTTTCGAGTACTGCCTTGCTTTTTTGGTCGATCTGACAGGGGCACTACCGTCCAGATAAGTGCAAATCCAGGGTTGCTGCGACTCCAGAGTTTAGAGCAAGCAGAGAAGAAAGAAATTATCTAGAAATTAGCACTGCTCAGTGTTAGGAACCTATCTCAAAAACTAAATCGATTTTTACATCAACTGTTCCTTAAGAGATTCAAGTAGTTATCAAGCAGGTTGAATGCAATATTCCACCTTGACCTTGACATCTGGCGTTACACGAGCGTTTTACTTCTTGCGTACCACTTTATGGAACCAGCTGTCAATCTAAGTATTTCCTTCAAGAGAAGATCCTACTTTTGGACGCATGAACCCTTGAATCGTCTGCGTACCGTAGGTAAACAGTAAATGTAGTAAATTACTGATTTTAATTAATTAAAATAACTGTCTTATTAACCTAGCTGTTCACAGTGCGTAGCTAAGGTAAAATATTAAAATATAATAACAAACATTTATATAAAAAAAATTATCAATATGTCTAGAAAAAGAAAAACGCAGCTATCTCAAAATACTTCCCACGCGAGGTTAGCAAAAATACGTCGTAACAGAGAATCTTCAGACGTCTCGCAAGTCAGAGAGTATCGTAGCGCTTCGCAGAGAATAGAGTTAGAATCTCGCAAAGGCGTGTACGTGAATCTATCGCGGAACGCTCGCAGTGGCTTATGGCACGGAGAGATAGGCAACAGTCGTTGAGAACTAGAACGCGCAAGAGAATATTAGCCCATAGTAATAGTTTGGCATTCAGCTACGATCCACAAATTGATTATGCTCATAAGTTATGGGCATACATTCTCTTATATTATCAGACACAATTGCTTTCTTTATTACTACATATGGGTATTGACTGTAGACTGTACAGTAATAGTAGGTATTTAATCTGATTATTACTAGCTTACATATACTCTAAACTTCAGTAAATTGTTTTTTAATAATTGCACGTTGATGTCATTTATTCTGTTATCATTTTGTTTTCAATCATCAAGTCCCGTCATAGGGAGTACACTATTGCTAAATACATTATTAATTAGGTATGAACTGCTATTTACTGTACGTTTATGCCAAAATAAATTATTTTTTTATAAATATTTAAAATTTTAAATCGGAAACATCCTTTATAAAATCACTCCTTCGCAAGCGACTATTAATTGTGAACATTTTATCGTTGGGATATGGGCGACCTCAGTTCCCGTGCTGTCTTCTAATAGCCGTACCATTCCTGACGTTTTTGTATCCTATCGATACAGTTCCTACAATATCTGCAGCGCTGACGCAACCTTGGAATAAAATCTCATTATGTTGACCACAAGTACTCGTATAATTAAATTATTGTAATGCAAATAGTTGGACTATTAATTTGAGTTTCATAATATATTCAAGGTGTTCTGCATTATTTAAATATTCTTATCAGTAAACGATTCCATACACAAGTTGGCCTAGTGGCTTCAGCGCCCTTGGGTAGATTGCCTTGGCGAACCCCGAGGGACCTTAGGAGCGTGTGAATGGCTCAGGTGTTTTTAGTGACCCTACCCACGTACTACCCCTCTGAATAGCAGAGGGCTTTGAGTGTAGACCCAACCGCAAAGTCCCCGCGTCAAGTTCGACATCCATGGCGCGTGGCTGCGTAATCGCATTTTCTCCTCATTTTCACCGAAGGAAAATATCGTGAGGAAACCGGCTTGCCTTAGACCCAACACGACGTTTGTCAGGCACAGGGGGCTGATTACTTGCCTATTAGATTGACAAATGAAACAGATACAGAAATCTGAGGCCCAGTCCTAAAAGGGGCGTAACATCACTGATTTATATTTTCCAATCTACACTTATAATTATATATAAAGAGGAAAGATTTGATTGTTTGCATACCAAAAGTACAATATTTGAGAACATAGAAATTTTCGATAGTGATAAGGTGTGACGACAAACAAAGTCTCCTATATGCTGCGGAAACAGCATATAGACTTTGTTTTGAATTGACAACAGAGCAATATACTACAGTTTTATAGAATACGTCAATCTAAAAAGTCCATGATGTATTAATACATATTTAATCATGCGCTAGTATTATAAAGAGGAAAGATTGGTATGTAAGTATGTTTGTAACGAATTGGCTCAAAAAGGACTTCTTTACTGGACTGATTTTAAAAATTCTTTCACCATTTGAATGATACATTAACACTGATTAAAATAGGCTATTTTAAATGCAAGAAAAAAAAGGAACCCTACTAAAACTACAATAATGTTACCCAAGGTGTAAAAATGCCTATAAAATATCTTTCATCGCATGCGCTGCGAAAACTTAATGTTAGAACAAAAAAGTGTTCCACAATATTAAAAAACATATCAATATCCATAAAAAAGGTTTAAAACATAAATGTCTACCCGAGCGAAGCCGGGACGGGCCGCTAGTGTTAATATATTTTAAATAATTGTTTTTGGTAATTAGAATTAAATTTTTTATACAGTATATTCCGCGGGTAATAAAGCCGCTATAAAAGTAGCTAATGGGAAGAACTCTAGAATGAGGAATTCTGGATTGGGAGATTCAATTAGGGTGTCGGTCAGATTAAGGTGAACTACGAGCCCAGGCCCGTCCCCGTTCACAAAGACGTTGCTACTGAATGCTGTCTCCGACACTATATCTTTATATGTTCGCAGAGTGAAGTCACAGTAGAGATATTGTCTATGTGTTTAATATTATATATTTAATTTATTCTCGACATTATCGTAATGGCATAGTCTGTAAGGATTCATTCGTCTCATAGCAATTACCCTTTAATTATTTTGTATTTTATATTTTTGTTCGCGAAGCATATATACAATAAAAATAAAATCCTTTATTATTAAGCCCCCGATAACCCCATAACCACTTACCCCCCAATAACCACTTACAAATAACTTATTTAAATGATTTATAGAGCTTTAAGAGTATTTCAGAAGACTTTTTGTCCAAATCGAGATTATGATTAATTTCTCTAATGTCACGCATTTCTATAAACAGTAAACTGTATGCCATCAAAAACAATTTGTAAAAAAAATCTCTCTATTCAGTTTCTCGTAAAAAGTTGTGAGATCCAAGTCGGTTAATCAGTCCCTACTTGAGGGATCTTCTATCTTAAGTTATTACGCTAACCTATCATCTTATAGTGACCATATCAATATTAATCACTAATTGTATTCTTAAAGCTTCTGTGTCTGCTCGAAATGCCTTAGAGTTCTGATGACCGGTCAGTGAGTGAGTGACAAAATTAAGAAACTTTGACTTAAGCTACTGGTTAAAATTGAATGAAATTTCGAATTAATACAATGGCTCCTTAGTCATTGACAATTATTTAGACGTCTTATTTTATGTACAACGAAGCTATAGGGGGTTGAAAATGGCCTTAACTGTTTCAAGAAAAGGATGGCCGTGTGGCATTTTCTGGCTTATAAAGCCATCGCAAGTTATCGCAGGATATGGTGAACCAAATTGTTTAACATGTTATAGTTTTAAAAGGAATTAAGTAAAAGAAAATGACATATGTTTTTAGTGTGTTTATTTACACTTTGGCAGTGATGGCGCACTTATTTACAGAGAGTTACGTTTGAGACCTTTGTTGAGCAAATCCGGGAAAATTTGAAAAAAACCATTAAAGCTTTGGATGCGTAATGCTACCATTGAAACGCCCACAGCATTACGTAATAACGCTAGCGTGAAAACGGTAATGTAAAAACGCTCGCATTAAAACGGTAATGTTAAAACGCTAGCATCAAAATGGTAATACGATTACGCTAGCATCGGATCGGTGATTACCAGGCGTGGAGGCCAAGACCGTACGCGCCGTAGGCGGTGTATGGGGCAGCGATTCCGTAGGGGGAAACTCCGTAAGCGCCAACAATTGGGGCACCAGCATAGGCAGCGCGGACACCAGCGGCAACGCCGTCAATGGCGGCAACCTGGGATTGAGCGGCGGCGACGTAGTTCTGGGAAGCGGCAACATTGCCCCAGTAAGCGTTCTCGTGGAGGTTGCGGTTGGTTTCGGCGACCTGGCGGACGGCTTCGGTGTTGTGCTGGACGACGGCTTCAGCTGCTCTGGCCTGTCCTTCGCCGATGGCGCGGACGGTGTCCCGAGCGGCCACGGTGGCGTCGATGGCTGCGGCCTGGACGTCACCGGCGTTGGCGCCGTAGACCAATGGAGCTAGGATGGCGCTAGCTGAGGCATAGCCGATGAGGGCGACGAAAGCGATCTGGAATTGAATTGGTTGCGTGAGAAATGATAAATAATTTAGAAGAGAAGAATAAAATTATATAAATTTAGGGGGTAGATACAATTGAAGCCCTACCGTGGTAACTTAAAACAATGGTTACTTCTTCAAGTTATTATTTCGGGCCGCTATGATTTTTGGGTCGAACAGTTACGAATAAAAAACGACGAGAGGTTACAAAACACTGTATAATGCTTTCAAGGGGAAGTGCTTAGATTTTTAAAGGCTTTATTGAGGGATAGGTTTTATTATACATTTGCTTGCTAGTTTGATATGGCTAATTGTGTTGTATTTTTCAATTTATCCACCATGAAATGCAAACTTAGCTATTATATGTATTGTTCAGGATGACGACAAGTATTTGGGCATGTATACGAGTGCTTCTTTGTCACGCGTGACAAGGCAAATCATTTAGACACTAAAGTATTGAAGGTCGATGTGAAACACACAAGAATATTATAATTGACTGGCAAAGGCTCACACGGATTTTATAAAATACTAGCTGTGCTCTTCGTGTTCATCCGCAATTTGGTAGCACGATGTTCTATATCTTTTAAATGTTTCCAAAGCGGGGGTTCGCAGTCTGTTGAAAAATAATAAATACAAACTACCCATAGGTACAAAAGATTCATTAATCATAGCGCGCTATGTACATATTATTATAACTTTACAATGACGTTTGACAAGACTGTTTAACTTTGCTTTTTCGTGGTCGACGTTAAAATTAGTGAGAAACGATGGTATAGATATATTCGTGTGTTGCACGTGCCTTGCTTAGGATGTACTTAGCACGTTAACTCTAAGTTTAAAGGCTTAAGGTTCGATTTTTTTCACATTTTCTCGTATAAAGAAAAACAATGCGTGGAAACCGGACATTAAGACGTAACTTCACGTGCGGTTAATCACCGACATAAATGTTTACGATCGGGGTTTTAAATTAGTGTAATGTTACTTCCTAAATCGTCAACGAGAAATCGACTACAATTATTTTTACCGAATGAATTTTAATTAAAATTTACTCTGTTTAGAATCTAATGGATTTTGTCCTGTGTTTTAGACCAAGGACCATCAAAAGAAAGAAATCAGTGGCGTTACAGGTATTTTTGGTCTGAGTCTCATATTTGTTTCATGATTTGACATTTGTCCGCCTCCTGTGCCTGACACACGCCTAAGGGTCTAAGGCAAGCCCTTTTAATCACGATGTTTTTCTTCGTACGAGTGAGTGTTAATTGCGCATTAAAAGTTCATTGGTGCACAGCTGGAGTTTGAACCTCAGGGATGAGAGTCGCACGCGGAAGCCACTAGGCCAACACTGCTCTTTAAGCTTTAATATTACTTTCATTGTCTAAAATTTCGTGAGCAGTTCCAGAACCTTGACCACGCATTAGTATTCCAAGCGTGTTACATTGAATGAATACTTGCGTAATGTGTTATAACATTAGTACGTAGTATGTTAGTATGACAATTGTTTATATGTCATAGCATCTATCTCCGCGGATATTTATGATACCGGACCGAATAATATTTCACCTAGATAATACCGGACTAAATTTTCAGCTGTTCGAAGCTGATTGGGATTGATAAGTTATAATCAAATCGCGAAGATACTGATATTATTTATAAAAGGTTTGATACTTTGGAAATTGAACTAAATTTAATAATGAGAAACACGCAAGCAAACTTTTTAAGATGTTTTACGTAGAATACGTTGTTTCGTATGGCATTTCGGTTATCACAAGACAATTCATGATTAATTCCTTGAATTTTAACCCTAGAAAAAATCGAATAAATTTGCCATTTAAATGCTCAAAATAGAATGAGCATGCTAATGTCAATATTTAATTAATTACATTATTTATAATGTCAAACCAAAAGTTTCGAGACAGTTTTTTATATTGAAGGTGTGTTAAAAAGTACATCTTCCTTTTGAAAGTACCTACTAAAAACACTACTTTACTAAACCCTTCTCATTTTGAGAAGGGTTTAGTCTCAACTAATAAATTTAAAACATTATTATCACATTTGAAATGTTTAAAATGACAAAGAAAGTATTATACAGCGTACCCATAACCTATAAACACTACTTAACTAAACCCCTCTCAACTTATAAATTTAAAATTTACATTTTTTTATCACAATTTAAATGTTAAATCAAAAAGAGTGCCTATGGGATAATTTAAAGACAGTTATGATAACAACTGATAAGGTAGTCTTACCAGGAATCTCATGTTGCACTTCTGTTGACTGCTACTGAGCTACTGAATGCAAACAGAATGCCTACACGGCCTTTTATACTCGAAGGAAAGTTGCTGAGTTGGGAAGTTTGCGGAAATCAAGTTTAAAGGCTCTATTTACAAGTTTTAAAAAGGGCAGGGTTTTCTGAATGACATTATATGGAGCGTACGTAAAAATAATGTTTATAATCAATGTGTGATTAATGTACTTATCGTATTTCTTTAAGCTTGGTAACGGCAAGTTGTTTTGATGTTCGATTTTTAAATTTTGAATTGGCATTGTAAAGAGTATTGGAATTTATTTGTAATATAAGTAGACATGTTCTATTTTTATACTTTTATTTGAACTAGTATAGCAAGTGATGAGAAGATGTTTTTTTTTATAATATTAGGTTTTAAATTTCATGTTTAAATTTAAATTTGTAAAGCAGGCGTCGGATAGTTGTTTTGCTATATTTAACAAAAGATTCGATTTTTAAATTTTGATGTCCAGTGACAATTAATAGAATAGACATATTTTAACCCCATAGTAATTATAGAATACGTAAAGAGGAATAACAAGAATATGATTTGTCATAGAGTTTTCTCTATGAATTATCTAGATATGAATTAGAAACGGTTACAAAACTGTGCGTTTAAACGCTAGCAGGTGCAGTGTGTAGGACAAAATTAGTCTAAGATCCAAATTTATAAATTATTTTATTATTGAAAATTGATATTTTTAATTTATAAACACGCCAACACTTCTCTATGCGTCGAACCAGCCCCTATGACATACCATTCACACATTCTTATTTTGTACAAATACAGATTTTTAATAAAGTTATTTTACTCTATAACGCCTTGTAAAGCTAATATACAGATTAGACTTAGTAAATCCTTTTTTTTGTCAAATATATTCAGTAAATCAAGCACAGAACACATCGCAGATTTTAGTTTCATTTTTAAATTTTATTATAAAGTTTCATAAAATTAAATGATGGCAATTAAATTGGGTATTGAACGGATTCCATTTTTGAATTTTTCTTATTTAAATATGAAAAGAGATGGCTTCAAATCTCTATGTACTGTTTAAAGGTGAATACAGAAATTGGGCGTGGCTTTTAGCTCAATTTTTAAATTGGTTAAAAATATTTTAAGTATAAAGAGTTTCTATTGACAGATAACCTTGCTTTTATTTTAGAATGCAATATATTTAATACTAGCTGGCCTGGCGAACATCGTACCGCCTAACAGTCGATTCTTTATTTTTTTTTAAATATTTATTCTGCTATTCGGTACACCGGTCTAGCTAGAAAGATAAAAAAAAGAAAGTTGATAATACAACAAATACATTATGTCCTAAAATTAAAATTTACCTTCCCGGTACCCCTCCACTAACACTTGAACTTTATGATATGGTATTAAAGTTCAAATTGCCTTTAAATACTATTACGAATATTTTGTATGTGAATATAGAAAAGTGTTGTTTTTAGACTTTTTCACTCATTTTTTTTAATTTTTCTCTCCGTAAGAACCATCCTCTTACTTCAAGGAATATTATAAAAAAAAGAATCAGACAAATCGGTCAAGCCGTTTTCATGTTATGTCGTGACAACGGAAAACGGGTTTCATTTTTATACAGATAAAAACATAATTTCGTGGAGTTCTCGTAGGATGAAACAAAACACTATTTAGCTAATCGAAGTTTATAAGTACGTTTCTCATTCATTTGTCAAAATTGTAGGTAGGTTTTTTAAATACGCTCTATTACACAATAATTATGCTAGTATAATAAGGATATGTAGATATAATTAAAACATATTACTTTTTATGCACTACAGAACATAATAATAGAAAGTTTAATCAATCAATCAAAATACGTTTATTCAATTTAGATGCGTCTTAGGGCATGCTTATGAATGTCAAAAACGTTTACAAAATTCGTGAAGGAGCAAGACTACGCCATTCGCAAAACGCAAATGGCATCGCAATTTGCATTTCGCAATTCGCAAAACTTCCAGGAGGCCTTGTTCTGAGAAGAACGGGCAAGAAACTCAGCAAGTTTTACCCCCCTTACCCTAGTTCCAAGTTCTTACGAGTGCGTTATCTTTCAAGAATTAGCACGCTCTTTTCATGAAGAACTCTAGACCAAAAACCAATTCTCGCTACGCATCATAAAAGTTGTGAGATCCATGTAATACCCAGTCCATTCATTCTCCACAGGGACCTTCTGTCTTTTATAACGTAATTAGCTAACTTAACATCTTATAGTGACCATATCAATATTAAACACTAATAGTATTCTTGAAGCTCTTGTGTCTGCTAGAAGTTTTGTTTCTTCTTTTTTATCCACAACGAAGTGATAATGTGTAAAAAGTCCTGAACTGCTTCGAGAAAAGGATAGTACTGCCGTTCTTTTTTGCTCGATCTGACAGGGGCACTACCGTTTCCCCAGATAAGTGCAAATCCAGGGTTGCTGCGACTCCAGAGTTTATAGCAAGTACAGAAGAAATAAATTATCTAGATAGGCCTTGTTAGGCCAGCACTGCTCAGTGTGAACCGTTATCTCATAAACTGAATCAATTTTGATGACATCAACAGTCAAAGAAGACTGAATGCAAAATTCCACCTTGGCCTTGACATCTGGCGTTACACAGAGCGTAACTTTGCGTACTTCATGCGTACCACTTTATGGAACCAGCTGCCAATCTAAGTATTTACAACACGCGTTAGAAGTTATACTTCTTTGGCGTTTTTTTATAAGTTAAGTTATACTTTCTTGTCCATTTTAATAGTCAATTTCCAATTGAAATGTTTACTACATTCTGATATTTTACAATAAACACTATGTTTTTTATCACATTGGAACGTGTTTTCTCGTATAGAAATCATTATTTTGGTTTAAATACTCTGAAAAACACTACGCCATGACAGACAATGCGACCCAGACTGGTTTACCGACGTTTGAACAGATATTCAGGGTGTCGGTTTTTTGTGACGGTGTGCACGCGTATCGTAAAAAATTACTCTCATAATTTTCCTCTAGCGCGTCAAAAAAGTATAACTTTATAAAATTATAAATGAAGTTACTCTTTGCAATTGATGAAATAATACATTGTATGTAAACCTTGGTTTTAAAGGTTAAAGAAAATAAAAGTCCTTAAAATATGAGTCCTTTCATTTACGTAAAGTATACAAAATGGCGTAACTTAGCGAGCATTTAATGTATATTTAACGTTTAGATTTTTATAATTTTTGGTTAAAATTCTTAATTTCAGTATATAGTTTAGTATTTGCTATATTCTTAACCTACATACTTAGTATAATAATAATATAAATATATATTTATTTATAATTAAAAATTAATGCAGAAAGAATAAAAAGTAAATAAATTTAAAAAGTTTTTAAAGCTTTAAGGCTGGCATTTCCTCGCTGTATTGCGATTATTCGTTGAGCAAAGCACCAGCTCTGGGGTCACCGGTAGCTACCAGGCGCCAACTTAAATGTTTACTAAGCTGTGCACCTGAACCCCACGCTCCAAGAATCTCTACTCCAAAGGGAGTAACTCGAAGTTGGAGGAAAGACTCTTATATACTTGAGCCATTTCTTATTTTCTGCCTGCTCTGCTCCAGCTGGAGCAGCCGCGGAGCAAAAAAGCTTTTTTGCTTGTGCGAGGGAGGTTTTACGGGGCTAACGTTTATAAGTAGAATCCCATACCAAAGCCCGTCTCATCCTCCAAGGGATCAACGTCATCCCATTTGGGCGCTTGCCATCAGAGCTAGAGATGCCTATTGGTCTCAAAATGGCTGGAACATTGCCGGAGGCAAGAGAGCAGCATACAATGTCGTTGAGCGTGGTTTAGCGAGGAAAACGACCTGCACTCTTTTGGCAATGGAGGCCATGGTGACCAAGGCTAGTTACTGCAAAGCCTAAGCTTTTGGTTAAAATATATTTTATCTGAATGAATTTATTTGCGTGTCAATACACTTCTTATTCTGAGCTCTCAAAGGTGGAACGAAAAATAGTTAATAATTCAGAAATCATCTGCTGAGATTATGAAGCTGGCTGGCTAGCAAAAATCTTTAAAAAATACATTTTCTGGACTTAAATATCCAGAAATCTTTCTATATAATATAGAACTATTGTGTGTGTTCTGCTAACTTTGCCCTTGTGGTGGAAGGTTATGTGAAAGTGGCCATACTCACATTCGGCCTTTGCAGAGCTGGGGGTTGTCGGGTGCAATACTTTGAAGGATGCGTGATCAACAGACACCCTTAGTCACCTATAGCAATCCCAAGTTTCTGTTTCACTCCAAGGTTACGTCTGTACTAGCAGAGGCGTCGCCTGCCTATTAAAAGATTTTAATGTCTTAGAATATTTATTAAACATACTTTTTAACTAATGTTTAGTTGCCTTCAGGAACTGTCTTTGTTAATAATTGTTTTTTTTGTTTCAGGTAATTATTCAAATAAGAAAGTATTCTCATGGCGTCTTCGTGTGTTCATGAGTTAAGAGTACGTTAGGTAAGGTTGTTTTTAATTCTAAGTGGCGTTTATGATCAGGTTAGGTTAGGTTAAAGCCCAAAAAATTTTACATAATAATATACCTGTAGATATCTACATGTATATGCATTTATGAAACATAATTTAGGCACAGTTAGATAGGATTATGTACTTTTCTACTATAGCTTTAATACAAGATAAAATTTAAGAAATGGAAGGAAGAAATAATATGCCTGTTTTGTGTTATAGATACATGTTCATAATAATTATTTTATTAACTTCAGTTATGTCTGGTGGGATTGGTGTCTCCCACCAGACGCTTACGACTTCTCCGATTTTCTTATGATATTTATGGGCTACTTGTAGCCCGCTATCACGTCTTGTGCCTTGATAGTTCTGTATTCATCTGGGCGCACGGCCGTACCATCCTTTTCTTTAAGCAGTTTTGAACCCTCACCTCTTTGTCACCCACTGACAGATCATCAAAACTCTAAGGCTCTAGAAAACACA